TTGACAGAATTAATTATTATAAAATATTAAAGAACACAGAAAATAACTTATGAAAATTTTCGAGGTTTGCAGAATGATGAACCTATATTTTGGTCGTTTCCGATCCTTCAGGTGTGCTTATGTGTTTCGGCTTGTCAGTTCTCGCCATCTTCAGAAGCGAGTTTGTCTTTACATAATTATACACAGAAGAATACAGAACAAACAAAATAAATTACGATTCTTGAGATCTGTAGGGTTTGTTCTTTACCGATTTGTTCCACTTATTTTCCCTGTTTTATCCAGACGCGCTTAGTCTTCTCGCAATCTTCAGTGGAAAGTTTTTGTATACATAATTAAGTATAAAAGAATACAGAAGGCAACAAATATATAAATTGTTGTGATCTGCAGGGTTTGGTGACATATCATCCTGCCGTGATATCCTTGTTTAGTCCAGTCAAACATGATTTGTCTTCTCGTCATCTTCAGTAGAAAATAATTATAAAATAATAAAGCACATAGAAAATAAATTATGCGAATTCTCGAGGCCTGTAGGGTAATGATGTATTTTGGTCGTGCCCGATCATCCTGGTCCGTCTGGCTTCGCTCTTTTAGCCTATCAGACGCCCTTCGTCGTTTGTGTGCATAGAGTAAATAATAGAAAACTACAGAAATCAAAAAATAAATTATGAAAAAGTATGAGATGTGCAGGGTTTGGTACGCCTGTCTTCGCTGCTTCGGTCCAGCCAAATAATCACTGAAGAAGAAATGAAAAATATAGCAAAACGGCGAGTAGGCAGACCAAAATATCAGAGAGGACCAAACATTATCTAAATAGCCATCTCGTACCAAACAGCCTGTAATTTTAACAATAGCCCGATTTCCAGAGAATATTGCATGAACATATTGGAAGTTTTTTTTGTTTATGGGTGGGGACTTAGGGACTTCGTATCAGTAGTGAACATCTCATCGGGCGCGCCTCTTTTTTGTGATTTGAGAGTGGTTCAGCGAGGTATCGTGAGCTCAGGCTTACCTGGAACCGGTTCTCCGGGCAGGGAGTACGCAATCGGCCATAACCATTTTGCCTCCTCCATTTTGTCAAGTCCTTCGGAGCCCGATTAGCCTAATTTCTTCCCTGATCTGCCGAATTTGAATGTCAATCAAATTAGTTTTTTTCATAATCTTTCAATGAAAATTTAACAAAGAAAAATGGAGTCTTTTCTTCGGGCCGATTGGGGGTTTATTCTAAGTGTAAGGTAGGTCAATAACAAGAAGGAGCTTTCACCGCCTCAGGCGATCTTCGGATTTAATAATTTCATTTGCTGTAGCGTAAAAACATAAACCGCTCGGTGAAAATTATTCAGTTTTCGACAAAACTAAATTGTTTCGTGCCAAATTCTCCGTGTAGAACACGCTTATTATATATCTGTTTGAATGCATTCATAAGAAGCCCCGTTATTTTGTTTTTATTATAAAGTTCATTGTACTATAAAAAAGAGAAATTTTTGTATAGAGATACTCTATTATCTCTTCCTTATTGTATTTGATTATTATTAGAAGATTAGAGCTTTTGTTTTTCTCCGAGGCCATTGTGCCATATTGAAACGCCTATTGTCTGATCACTTTTGTCTCCGGCCTGCTTTCTTACCTCGCGTTAAAGTCCCTTCGAGACGGTACGCTACAGAGGTCGAAAACTTTGTACAAATTGATTTATTTTATAAAACGGCTTGTTTGGAAGATGTCGAAGTCGTGATGGGGAAGACAAGTCCTGGCCCGTTATGTAATCATGCGCGTTTCACCGGCTTTAAATTTTTAAATGTCCATGTTTAAATGGCAATCGTCAAAAGAAGTATTTTTTCTGTTTAAAATTTGTTTCGTCCATTAAAGAAAAATATCTGTTAAGGCGTGTTGAAATTATCTGAGATTTATCAGTGTAAACCTAGGTGATCAATCTTTTTTCAGTTTTTTATTCACGGGGTCTGTATGATGACCCTATAGTTGGGTTTTCCGATCATCCTGGTCCGTCTATCTTCACTGTTATGGTCTGTGTGTCTGTTGTGACATGTCAGGCACGCTTAATCTTCTCGCCATCTTCATTGTCGTATCTGGGTTGGCAGAATAAATCATGAAAGAGAAATGCAGAAGATCTGCAGGATATGTTCATTCCCTGTCATCCTAGTTCACTTACCTTTACTGTTTTGGTCTGTCGGCAGAGCTTCGTCTTCTCGCCATCTTCCGTGGCGAGTTTATGTTCACAGAATTAATTATGGAAGATACCAAGTACATAAATAAAAGAAAAATTAAAATCTGCAGGATTTGGTCGTTTCCTGGTCATGATCCGCCTGTATTCGCTGTTTGCCTGTCAGACGCCGCCATTAACAGCGGCCATTCGCCATCTTCAGCGTACTCTGAATTAATTATAGAGGATAGAGAATACAAAAAATAAATAGTGAAACTTCATAAGGTCTTTATGCTGATGAACCCGTAGTTTGGTCGTTTCCTTTTATCTTGCTTCGCTGTTTTGGTCTGTCAGAAGAGATTCATCTTCTCGTCATCTTCAGTAGTGTGTCTCAATTAGCTGAATTAATTATTTAAAAAAAAATACCGAACACTAAAAATAAATTGTGAAACATCTTGAGGTCTTTGTGGTGATGAACCTGTAGTTTGGTCGTTTCCTTTTATCCTGCTTCGCTGTTTTGGTCTGTCAGAAGCGATTCATCTTCTCCTCATCTTCAGTGGTGTGTCTCAATTAGCTGAATTAATTATTAAAAAAAAAAAAATACCGAACACTAAAAATAAATTGTGAAACATCTTGAGGTCTTTATGGTGATGAGCTATAGTTTTGACGTTTCCGATCAATTTGGTCTGTCGCGTCTCACCCTGCTTATATCCTGAACAGAGTAAACAAACTGTTACAAAAACCGGCCGTGCTGAAACCCGTCTGGCAGTGAAGGCGAGACTAGGCGGACCACGATGAATCTGATTGACCACAGGCTTAACTCCAGTTAAACTAAAAGGAACAAAAACGAACAGCAATCAATACAAAGTTGTTAATGAAAAAATCGCCGAGGACGATGTTTCAAACACGAATGTTAATAATTAATTTAATAGTTATGAAATCGGGTTTAAACAGTTTCCTAGCTTGAGGGAACCACCTTCACGTTATATCTTGTTCGCATAAAATTTTTGAAGAAATTACATTTATTAATTTACAAGTTGATTTGAATTGTATAGCACGTTCGGGTCGTAATCGTGCTTTTTATACGCTTAGAATTTTCATAGTATATAATCTAAAGAGTGAAGCCCTCGAAATTGCCTTTATAATAGCTTAATTATAATAAGTAATTTAAATCTGCCTGCATTAAATTTTCTCATGGGAAGATGGTTCTCGTGTCCAGCGTGTGTGAGTCACAGGAAATGCCCCTAGTCAACCGCATTTCACGAAAGAGTTCTCGGAAACCCTCCCCAAGATTGGTCAGAAAAGGCAGATAATCTAAGGACCTCCACGGAAAAAAAATAAAAACAGGTATCCCGTGCTTTACCTGGGCTGCATTTGGCTAATTTACCATTATGGTAATCCGGCCGTCGTGGGGCCCGGCGATTTCATGGGCTTACTGTAAATTACTCGGCTAAAAACTCTGGGTTTTGTTCCCTTTTTCCAGTTTTCGCCCAGTTCTAAATCTCCCATCGCCTCCTTGTATATCAGAGCGGAGCGTGGGACCGGAAAAGCTATTACTGGACTCATTAATACAAGCAGTTTTCCCATGGCCCTCCACTTCGAACAAAGACCCCTACTCGGAAAGTTCGAATGGAAAGAAGAGAAGAAAGAACGGTTAAAAACTCTCGGGTCCATCGGATTCGGAAAAATGAAGGCCGATTTTTCCTTTCGACCATCTTATGTACAAGGAAGCGATGGATGAAATTTAGAACTGGGCAAGAATTGGAAAAAGGGACGAAGAAGGAACTTTGGTCCGCCTATCTTCGCTGTTTTTATCCATCATATGTCTTTAAGTATACAGACTTTGTGACACAGTTTACTTAGTCTTATTTAGCCCACTGCTTAGGGTTATAATCACGGTGATATAATTGACCAGAAATGACTGATGCCTCGTCAGTAGGAAGTTGGGCAAAAAAAACAAATAAAAAACCCTGCACCTCTCAAAAATTTCCATAATTTATTTTCTGTGTCCTCTATTCTTTTATAATTAATTCTGCTAACACAGAATTGCACTGAACACAGCGAGATGAGTCTGATTGACCAAAACAGCGAGGATATGTAGACATTAAAATGATCAAAAACGACCAAAGTACAGGTTCAAGAATTTTCACAATTTATTTTACGCTTTAACTTCATCTTCTATAATAAATTCTTTGTACACTGAAGATGGCTAGAAAACCAAGCACATCCAATAGACATAAACCAAAGATCAGAATGACTGGAAACAACCAAAATACAAGTACATCACCATAAAGACCTCAAGAAGTTGCACAATTCTGTTTTCTTTTTTTTTAAATTATTAATTATACTAACTCAGACATGCCACTGAAGATGGCAAAAAGACTAAGGCGACAGACCAGAACAGCGAAGATAGGCAGATCAAGATGATAGGAAACGACTAAACTGCAGGTTCATTACCCTATAGTGCTCAAAAAGTTTCACAATTTATTTTATGAATTCGGTATTTTCTATATTTAATAATGGGTCCATTGAAGATGGCAGGAAGACAAAATGCGTCTTTACACCAAAGTAGTCCTTGTCAAACCACTTCTTCAGATGTCACAAAAATCTCAAGACAATGTACATTATACTGGACTAATTTTAGCCTTAAATAACAATATTTTGCATTTTGGTCAGTCAATCTTTGCTGATTTAGTTTAACAGAAGCATTTCAACGTATCGTCATCTTCACTGGTGGGTCTCCCTAATTGTGCTTGTACAAATTGTTACTTTTTAATTACCTATTTTTCAGCTTTCTTACAAACTATCCTATATGTTTTTTTAATGATTGTTTTATTGTTTTTAGGAGCTTTTTTCACAATTACAATTCAGTCATGAGAGTGCCTTACCTCCTGATGCCCTTCGAAGGGCGCTCGCAGAATCATTCTTTGACCAGCAGAGATTCCAGCTTGGCTTCATGGATGATGCCGCTGAATGCTTTGTAAGTCTCACTTATTTTATTGGTCTCTTGGTCAAAAGGACTTCATTAATTTTAAATTTTAGGAAAATATCCTTCTTCGTATTCACTTCCATCTGGCAAGCGAAGAAGCGGAAGATCTTTGCAGTGCGAGACATTGCATACCGCACGTTAAATTCGCGATGACTCTTGTCGAACAGAGCGTATGCGGGGCTTGTGGTGCCACTTCCGAACCGTTACCTTTCACTCAGGTAATTTCTTGAAAAAAAAAATTGGCCTTGTCAGATAATTTTTCTTTCTTAATTTTGAACTTCATTTTTCTATTTTAGATGGTACATTATGTATCAGCATCGGCGCTGATTTCTCAGGCAAAGCAAGTGCAGAGCCCTTCACACCCTGATCTTTTTGGTCAGCTGCTCAAGAAAGCTGGAGGAATGGGTGACATAAGAGATTGTCCGGTATGATTTTTCTGTTACTTTATTTTCCAAATGTGTTTTTCATTCCTCACAAAAAAAGAAAAAATACTAGCATTATCCAATTAAAAATAACAGTCTTTATATATGTATATTGTTTATTTCAGAGTGCTTGTGGAGCAAAGATTCAGATTCGGAGGACTTTGACCAACCAGCCTGAGATAGTTTCCGTCGGAATAATTTGGGATTCAGACCGACCATCTCTAGAGCATATAATGTCTCTCTTGTTGACATTAAGGACGACGCTGCGTCTGTCTGATGTTTTCCATACACCTCCGCCTTTGCCAAACCCAACTACTAACAACCACCAGCTTGTCGGTGTTGTAACTTATTACGGAAAGCATTACTCAACTTTCTTTTTCCACACAAAACTCAAGATCTGGATCTATTTTGACGATGCTAATGTCAGAGAGGTAGGGCCAAAATGGGAGCAAGTTGTGGAGAAGTGTAGACGTGGAAGATACCAGCCTCTTCTGTTGTTGTTCGCCGCCCCCGATGGAACACCCGTAGATCCTTCGACTGCTCCTACTAGCATAACAGTTGCACCGAGGGCGCTCGGGTTGGGGAAGCCACCTATTCCAAACCAGGCGCAGCAAGTACCGCAACAAAATGGTAGGCGATCACTTACTCCAAGCCCTGAAAAGCCGAGCATGGCCATTGGGCAGCAGAGGAGAGCAGTCACGCCAAATCCACAACAACAACAACAACAACAAGCTGAAGCCATTAAAAATGTATGTTAACTCTCAATTTTTTTATATATATTTTTCTGCATAAAAACATTACAATATTAAATTGATGTAATTTTAGCGGCCAGCACAACAACCAGTAATGTCGGAATATCAAAACTTCATGGTCATGATGCAGAAACCATTGTCGTCTCCAACAAGGACGAATGTGGGATCGTGGGGACCACAGAGTCAAGCGATAAGACGAGGTGCAACAGAATTAGTAAGGAGAGATTCTGGAAATTGGAGCGGCGATAGGAACAGTGCAAGTTCATCGTCTTCGACATCCCTGGAGAATCCATATCAGTATATAATTGGAAAAATGCACAACGGGAGGGGCCAGGTAGTCCCGAGGAGCCCTACAAGTCTCAAAGGAGGAGAGTCAAGTTCTGGCGGGAGCCAGTGTGATCCAGGATACGACTCATACTCATTGTCCTCGACTGACAGTCTGCCATTACAGCAAACCCTTAAGCATAACTTACAAGTAAGTTGAATTTATGTTAATCTGTTATTTTATGTTTAAAACACATTCTTTACATTTATTCATTATATTTTAGCTGGCACAGATACCCGAGGGGCATCAGTCTCCAGTAATGATAGCTAATATGCAAACATTACAAAATGGAGGTCATTCAGGTAATTAATTTGTTTAATACTTAAAAATCATATTGAAAATTATCAGTAACTTGTATTTCCATTTGTGTAGAATGTGAACGCTTATGTGAGGAAGCAGATATGCTTCTTAAGCATTCTCAAACCACAGACAATTTGGAAATGGCATTGTCGTACGCCAACGCAGCTGTTGGCAAGGCGCGTCAAGCAATGGATGCACCCTACAGCAATCCACAGTCCGCATCAGCAGCGAGGATGAAGCACAACACGTGCATAATGCAAGCAAGGAGCCTTCATAAGAAACTGGAAGACCCTGTTGGACCTAGACGTATGTATAAGAGCAACTATTTTTAACAAATTATATATAAATACTAATTATTTGTTCAAATTTAAGATGCCGAGGGCAGACACAGTCGTGAAGGTAGTGGCTGCAGTGGACGAGGATCGACCGGATCTCATTCTCGACAGAATTCCAAGGACAAAGGGAATCATTCGAGACAGAACAGTCGTGAGCTTCTCACTACCATCTCTACAGAACAGAGACCTTTAGAAATTCCAGAAAAGAGTCCGGAGAAAAGCATTGAAATATATGCAACCCTTCCGAAAACGAAGAAAGGACTATTATCTCGGGCCGCCTCGAAACTCAAGAACAGTGTCGAAGATGAAGATTTGTTGTCGTACGACCGGCCTGGAAGAAGCTTGAGCAGAAAGCCTCCCAATGGAAAGAAAGATGAAAAACGAGCAAGGAGTGAAGAAAGAAACAACAAAAATCAAAAAGAAAAGGAGTTCATTTCAAACCAAATAGCGAAAGATGCCAAAAAGCAGGCAAAAGCAGATGAGCAAAAGCAAAACAAAAAGCAGCATAAGGTCAGAAGAAAGCTCCTCATGGGTGGGCTAATCAGAAGGAAAAATAGATCGATGCCTGACTTAAGAGAAGATGAAGTGAATACCATTAAAGGTGTTTCAAAAGACGATACCAGTTTAGTCAAAATGGAAAAGCAAGGTGGATTGAGCGGTTACCTCTCTGAAGGCCATTTAGAGTATTCGGGAAATCCAAATCTAGAGAGGAGTAAATTAATGAGAAAGAGTTTACATAGTAGTAAATTGATTCATATGGCTAAGGTCCCACCACCGCCTCCGCTGAGGACGACCTCTCAATTAAGTAAAAACGACAGGCCACCATTTCCCCTTCCTGACAATTTTCATCAAAACTGGCAAGAAGAACCACACAGTTTACCACCCATGTCAAATTACAATGCACACACAACCGATGCGATTACTTATGCAAACGGAGGCTACTTGCTCAACGAGCAAACCAAGCTAGTGACAACGGCGCAAGTACATCAAGTAGGCTCTCCAGTGAATGAGTTCAAACAAGAGGACGATGATTTTGTCCTTCCACCATATCCCTCTCCGTTGAACTCTGTTTCTCACTCTAGACAAGCCAGCGAAGATTTTCCTCCTCCTCCGAATGAAATTGAAACATTGACTCCTACAACGCTGCTAGAACAGCTACAACAAAAAAGACAACAGATTCTGAATGACAATGGTTTCAAAGAAGCCGTTGACACTGTGGACTATGCAAAATCTTCAGGAGGAGATTGGCTGAGGGAACTGCAAGCCAAACAGGCCAAATTCCGCGACCAGACAGAGCAGAAACAAGAACAACGACCTCCTCCAGAAACTCAAGCAAAGCAACACGAAGATGTGAAGATTGATCAGAGCAACTCTGTTAAAGATTTGAAATCAAGGTTTGAAAACATCAATATAAAACAGCCTGATAAAAAAGAGACGATAGAACGTCCTAAGACAGGCTCACCCTTAACGTTACCAAACCCAAGAGCGTCATCTGTCGGCGAGAATAAGAATGAGAATGAAATAACAAAACATGAGGAAATTAAGAGCAGCCTCAGCTCGAGCCGATTAGACGACTCAAAGAGAAAATCGAGTAAAAAGAAAAATGTAACTTTCTGTGAACAAGTGGTACTTGTTGCTACAGCTGAAGAAGATAAGGTGAACAGCTACATCCCGAACCCAATTTTAGAAAGGGTGTTACGTTCTGTCCTTCACAGAGATCCACCACACCAGGAGACAAAAGAAATAGCAGTTCATTCTGTAGTTCCTTTAAAAAGGAATGATTCAGGAAGTTATGGCCAGTGTGCGGCAAGAACACCTACAGAAGTTAAGGAGATGTTTAAAGATGAAATTGGAACGTCAGTCGATTCTGATGAACCGTCTTCACCTAAATGTCCTCCAGGATCAGCAGATAAGAATGAACCATTTCAAAATGGTACTAAGAATTTGCAAAGGATGGTACCGTCACCCATGCCGACAAGGCAGGTGACAAGAGCCCAACCGATGCAAATCGCACATTCACATCAGAACATTTACAATGGCAGCCCAAGTCCTCAGACTGAAAATCAAATTAACCCATCACCATATCAGTTGGTACATCAACAGCATTACCAAGATGACATTAGGATGGGTGGATCTCTTCCGAGAGATTCTTACATGATACCCAAGCCATGCCAAGATATCGACATAAACAGGTACAATCTACAGACGATCAATGCGTTGAAATCAGAACTCAATCAGAATAGAGAACAAGAAAATATGAATCACAGCAATGATGTTTATGATGGTCAGATTTATTCGACTAGTCAAATGAATCATCAAATGATGCAGGGGCAGTCGAATATTTATCAAGGCCCTCCACAATCTATATACAATCAAAATTACAATGTACAACAAAATACACCTTCTCCTTTGAGCATAACACATGCGAAAAACCAATCGAACATGATTCAACAGATAAACGGTCCATTGAGCCCTAACAGCCAAACAAGTCCATATCAGACGATACCCGTGAGTGCGCATTGTGCCCAATACAACAACAACGGTGCTCAACTTGCCCAATCGACAAACGCGCAGTTGATGCAGAGTCAGCAACTTCGACAACAATTGACAAACGGGCAGATGATGAATATGCAGAGGAACATCCCTTCGCCTATCGTCCACAACAACATGCAGAATCAGATGAGGCAGATGAATCCGCAAATTGGAAACCAAATGCCACAGTACCAAATGAATCAACAAAACACTCAAATTTACCAGATGAAAAATCTTAATCCTGCACCTGCTACGTATCACTTAGAGCACCAAATTTCACCACCTGTTTCAAATCCTCAGACACGTCCATATGCGCACCAGTTGCAGCAAAGCTATCAGCAGCAAATGAACCAACACGGACAGACGCAAATCGCGTATAGCCATTTGTCAACTACAGCCGCTAATTTGCAGAGCAACGCGCATCAAAACACACTCCCTTCCCCAAGCTTGTCGTTAAAATCACAAATCATGCAACAAGCTCAGCCATGCTACACGTCTCTTCCTCAGAAGATGCGGCAAGGCCAAAACGGTCTTTTACAGCAGCAGAACAAGACACGGCCTCAAACAATGTACCAGCACGAGGCACCAACACAGGATAAAAAAGAAGGACAGCAGGCCCAAAGTGTTTATCAAAGGGTCCCAAATCCAATGGGACATGATTATTCTCAAAATCAATACCCGAACGGGCCTCTCAGTCCGAATTACAACCAAACCACACAAGGGCCTTACCTACCCGTGCCGAACCTCCAGCAAAATCAAAATCATCAAAACCAACAGGCGAAATATTCCCCGTATCAGCATCCACCGATTCCTCGGCAAATGGAGCAAAACAAACAAAACAATTCGGCTGTACGAAACTTGATGTGCCATCTGTGTAGAAAGAAAACTCTCGTCCCACCGGCTATTTATTGTACTGATTGTGATTTTTACATGTCAAGGTTCAAACCAAGGACGTGAAATTAATATCACCGGAAATAGTTATCCCATTTTAAGTGCTGTACATCGTGTAAATCTTTGTAAATAGTTTTTCTAGTAGATACAAATGTTCAGTTGGCTATAGTTGACAATCCCTGTACATATTTTTTTCTCAAGTGTTTTTGTTTTTATTTTAATTTTGGAAATCAAATGATCTCACTCTGTACTTATTTTGAATGAAGATTCCACAGAAAATTATAAATGTTTATTACAGATTCAAATTTTACTTGCTCTGTTTTAAGGGCATTACAACAAAAAATAAAATCTACTTTTAATAATATTTGCTTAATTTATTTCCCCCTTCTATTTTTGTCCTTATAATCTTCCATAATACACTCTTTTTTAGGTTGGGGGTTGATTAAGAATTATATAAATTCTTTCCTCCACTGCGTCCTAAATAGAGTGGAACCGTTATAAATTTATGCCATACCTCAGAAAGTGCACTTTTTCCTATAAGAACTAAGCACTTTCCTTGGTGCCTCTTTGTTCATCTCTTTTAGTCTGAGAATTGCCTTACCGAAGTGGTGGTACCATAATCGGGCTAATCATCACATTTACAGAGGATATGTGCCAATCTCTCCTTCCTCCTGACCAAATTATCACGTGTCTCTGTTCTGTGATAGTCTACTGGATTCACGAATCTATGAGAACACAAATAACTGGAGGAGAATAATGGACGTTAAATAGGCACCTAGGTGATAATGAAGAAAATTTTCTCGAATATTTTTGTATGGTGACATTCCAATTTAATGAATTGCTGGTAAAAATTGAAAATTATATTATTAGAAGAAACACCATCTTTAGAGAAAGTATCCCACCTAAAAGCTAACTGTTATTTACTGTAAGTGAAAATTTATTAATAAATTAATGATTTTTTTTTTAAATTTAACTCAAGTATAAGTAAATGAGTTTTTTGAATATTCCAAATTAAATTGAAAAAATATCAATGAAATTATAACTTATTTGTGATTAATAAGTATTAATTATATAAAATTAATTACATGTAAGACAAAGATTAATTAACTGGGTGTCATAAAAATTACCGATTTCATTTTTTCGAAATTGTAATCCCCTATAGGGTTTAATTTTTTCTCCAATCCAATTAGATTTGAAACCAGTTTAATCCGTAAACTGTCCTAAATAAAAAAATGATCTCGTCTTGCCTTCAGTTTTGTCTTATGATTTTTTTATACATGACAGTAAAATTTGAAATTTTGGTAATATTCACCATTATTGAAAACGTAAGTTTTCTACCGCTGAAACGACCCATTTGGTGTGGCAGTTTGAAGGTGCTCTTTCTGAATGGATAGTGTGGAGACAGTTTCAGAAATTTGAAACTGGTGTGATCAGCCTTGATAAGAAAGAGGGTTCTGTACAAAAATATCATTCGATCGCAGGGGCTTCGGTGGCCACAGGTCCCGGCATTCGAGAGCTAGTTTTCCCAATCCACTAAAAGGCGTGGGCTGCATAACTTGGAGAAAGTGAATCACTTATTAAGACGGGTTCATGAGTTGACCATTGAGCAGGCACGACACCAAGTAGAAATTTGTCAACATCTTTACAAAAACTCAAATAACCCTTGGTTCATCAAAACAATAATTACTTGCGATGAAAAGTGAATCGGTGAAACCTCAAGACCAAGAAACATTGGCTAGACTAAAATCAGCCTGCTGTACAAATCACTAAACAAGGGGAATCTGACAAAAAGACAAGGCTCTATATTTAGGAATTATGGAGGCATAATTAATCACAAGTCATTCTAGACTTCGATCCACTGAATCAAAACTATTGTGATTAGTTACAAAAAAGTGTATGATATTTTGACTCAGCATTACCCAGGATTAGTAAATAGAAACCTGATTTTGTTTCAACAAGATATCGCCTGACCACACGCTTCTCATTACACGAACCAAAAAATGACAGAATTGGAGCTTTTCACCCTGCTTATAGTCCAGACTTATCACCTTCCAACTACCTGTTCCAATTCATGGCTCATTATCTTCAAGGAAAATTTTTTAATTCTCTGGACAAGGTTCAAAATGGAGTTGCAGAATTCGTTCAAAACCCGGTATTGTGAAGGAATCCAACAGCCTGGCATCGAGATGGCAACAAACTGTAGAACACAATGTTACATACTTCAACTATTTAAAAAAAAAAATTAAATTAGCAAGAAAAACCAATTTTTTATGACTCATCCTGAAATAAATAACAAATAATTTTTTTTTAAATGTAATAAATTTTTCTGTCACCTACAAAATATTCTGGCCGGAAAAATGTTGGATGAATGAACATGGCAAGCTATATGGTGTTGGCTGGTGACAGAACAGTCTAATAAGTGTTTTCTGATGTTACTACAATAAAGAATATTTCTTTTAATGTGTCGGTTTGGTCACCTTAAGAAATATTCTAGTGGACAAAGATCATTTGCAAATTCATTTTAGCCATTGTTCTGGAACGTATACGCATACGGACGTCGTTCCAGAATGACCTACATTTCTAGAAAAAAAAAAAAAAACAGTTTTGAATCTTGTTGAATTTTTGAAATCAAATCTGTGACATGACCTTTAATATTCCTTTGGCAACGTTACTGTGAAGACTTTTTGAATTTGACTTTAGGAATTTTTTTACGATTTTTTGAAGGATTTAACAAATTTTTTGTCATACCTCGGGTCTTTCAAATCAGAGCTGTAACAAACGTGTTAAGCGTCTCTAGTTATGGTTCTGGTCCCATGGGCGAGATGATTTTGACAAGTTGACCATCCTGTTCATTTCCTTCTATGCCTTGATGTCCTGTGAGTCTTGTTTTGTTTTTCCAGTTTCATTAGTGAATTTAGTCCCTGACAAGTTTGTACTTGAAAGCATACTCATTTAGTGCCTTTATGGCTGCACTAACTTTTACTGGAACTAAAATCAAGTGTCAATTGATATAATTCATATTTAATGGATACCAGAACATTGAAGTTTGTGCAAAGGAAATCAGGTTAGTCAGATGTGTTTGAATATTTCGCTCTTCATTGTGTCATATCGTCTATGTCAAACACTTGGTTTTTTTGTGCAGCAATTCTTCAAACATTCAAAACTCGAGCCTAGATAGTTAAAGATGGTAAGTATCTACAGGTTTATCACCCTGCATACGACAGAAAATTTTCATGATTTTGTTTATTCCTGAGACTTTGGTATGAAAAAAGCAATAAAAATTTTAATTACAATATTTATTTGTTGAATTTCAATTGCATTCTGAAAAAAATAAAAATAAAGGAAATTCCATATGACAACAAGTTTACACTAACATTTATTATTGCACCTATACAATAGTTAGTAGTGTCACTTGGAAATTACAAATTTATTTTGTTTTCGTCATTATAAAAAAAAGAGTAAACAATTTTTCAATAAATAATCAAAACTGAAATGGAATGTACTTTCTTTTATGGTTTTCAATACATTGAATAAAACTGAAATAATCATAAATATAAACAACAAATTATAGAAACGTAAATAAATAAAATGTGCACAGCACCTATTACAGATAATTTAAATGTTATCCAAGACAATAATTCAATTTATTATCTCTTTACAATCTACATCTCACTAGATTTAGTAATGCTAAAATCACATAGTGTTAATTTATTTACTATTTACAATATAAGGAAAATTAAAGAAAATAAACAGTCGTTTTTTTGTTTGTTTTTTTCAAATTAAAAGGAACAAAAAATGTCAATGCTCATACAAGCTGTTTGCTTCAATAATGCTATTCATCTGATACTAAACAATTTCTCAAGAATGAAAGACATTGTGTTTTGAAAATCTAAATTTGTCCAAAAAAAAAAAAAAAAATGAAAAATAAAGAATCAAAGCCATGAGTTGTACAATTCTTGTTCACGAATATAAAATCATTTATAATTATTCAAAGAAATCAAAGGTAATTTTATAAAGTCTTAAAACAGTCCCTAATGTTGGCACGATCAAGAGATTCCTATATGAATTTTTTTTTTTTAAAGAAAACTTTTCCCTTTTACAACAGGCTTTTTAACTTTCAACCTTTTTAAGTCTCGAATCCCCTCTTGTTTTTAGTCTTTTAACTCATGATTCTGAGAAATTCTAAAGAGTTTTACAATATACAATTAATACATCTATAGACAAATGTGTACACTTTTTAAACTTTACAATAAATTAATCTTCTTTTAAGTACTTAATGAGTTTTTACTTTAAACTCATGCTATGTTTAAAGTTAGGCTGACATTTTTTAAAATATTTTTAGGTACAGGTGGGCTAAAAACATCTTAATATTAATCGTCTATGTACTTAAATAATTACATTCTCAGATCTCAAAACGATAAAGCATTGTTCTTTTTATATTTCTATATACAAATACTGCCAAATATGCAATAACTGTTTAGTTTACTATAATAAACTATTTTCATTCCATTCGTTATTTACAGTATTTATTAAGGCTTTTTTTTCAAATGAATCATTTGGTTTTTTTATATGTAATAATTTAAATGCTAGTTCCTTAATTGAACTGTGAGTTACATGTTGATTTAAATACTTTTTTTTATTGCCTTATGGACAATGAAACACTAGTAAAATATAACAGCCTTCGTTTTAAATATACATATTCATTATTTATTGTTTAAACTATATTTTACATACAATTTTCAATCTTAAATGCATGGTAAAATGTTTTCTCTTGCGATTTTTTTTTTCAAGTTCAAAAAGTGAAACTGATTCAATGATTTTTGACGGTAACTTTTTGAGTGAAGTTCAAATAAAAGTACGCTCATTTAAGATTGTTATACATTAGAAATAAAAAACAAAACACCATCTTAACTTTAAACCCAGAGTGAAGTATCGTTATCCATTGTGACTTAAAATTAAAATAGTTAATCTTAAATTCTATGAATTCTCTGAGTATTTTTTTTTTCCTTGCACAGTTAAAACTGGAACTAATTGACATGATTCGGTAACAAAAATGGCACATATTCCAACAGTGATCTCCAATATACCATCTGTTTTACAAATTGTTAAAACCGACAGTAAAAGTTTTGAAATTTTCTCTTATTAGTGGTATTTTTCAGCCTTAATTTTTTTTTTAAATTAACTCCAGGATTTTTTAAGAGATACTTTTAATTTTTTTTAACTTTAACCAGCACTATTCGCACCTTGTTTTTGCACCCTAAACGGCCGGATAGGAAGAACAAAAAGAGAAAAACAAAAAACACAAATTAATATAAAAAGCATACTGAAAAAACAAACACATAATACAACAATAGTGTTAAAGGCATGCTTCAAACACACAAATTTAGAAATAATAATGGAAAAATTCTAATGCCAACATCAAAAGAATGTGAAAATTAAATGTAAACCAATTATTGTTAGTTTAAAAATAATAATAATAATAATATGTTGCTGAAGTTATTTGGACACAATTATTGCTATATCACTTGTTCAAATTAAAATATCTTTACATTTTAAGAAGTAGTTAGTAAATTTAGGGTCAGTCTGAGTACCAATAAAATTATTGTCACCAATAATGATTATGAGGATCAAGGTGAGGACAGCAACAGGAACAAAACACGTTTTATGGCCAGCTATAGATACACTTCAACATCAACAGGGAAATAATCAACTAAAGTACGGCATAAAAGTAGTGTTTTCCTGTCAATGACCTCATTTTGATCCTAATAATCATTATTTTGAATGCAGGTCAATCTTGTAAAATATTACAACTATTGCCACCAGTTTAATCATCGCTAATCATCTTGCAATTTTTCTGAGATTTCCTCCTGTGTTTGGAAGACTTATTATCATAAATAAAATTGAAGGGATAAATCCGAGGACATTCTACAAGAGCAAGATGACCGACAGATGATCATAAATTAATTTTTTCCCCCTATGTTCAGTCCTAGTTTTACTGATTATTTGTTAACGACTATTTAAAAATATGGGTAGTGTGTTAGTATTTTTTTACATATTTATTTTTCAATTGAACTGAAAGAGAAGCCCTGAGTTTCATGGTCGGATTTTTATTTTTAATATCTGACTAATCATCATTTTTATGATTACATTGGTGTCCAATGTAGCTTTACGACTATTTAAGTAGAAAAAAAATTACTGGATTTTTTTTTAAATTAGTGATGTAAAACAACAAAATATTCAAAAAGTCCAAACATGTTATAAGAAAAATTCCGCGCAAATGATAAAAAATAAAGTTCTGTTTGTAGATTTCTTTGGATTAAATCAAATGGGAAGTAGGCAAAACATTTCAAACCTTAAGTATAACATACTTAATACATACATTTTAAGTTGAAAGTGTTCTATAAGTTCAAAAGTAAAAACAAAAATATAAAGAGTTGGCATTAGAGGGAAAATGTAGGCAAAATAAACACATAAAACACATGATGCACACAAAAAAATTCAACAAAAAGGGTTTGTTAAAATTCAGGTCAGGTTGGTCTAAAGTTGGAAGATCTTATCTTAATACTGATCAATTTATGCAAGGAATGTAGGGAAAATATTATCTAAATTAATTTTTTTTTTTTTTTTAATTCATAGTGCTGGTGCCTATAATTTCATTTATTTTTACAACACTGAAATATTTAACCCCAGAGAGCTTAGAAAAAAAGTTCAAAATAAAATAAAAGTTTGTTCAACTTATTTTACTATCACAGAGAAATGGTTTGAAAGTCTGTTAAAATGCAAGGGAAAAACCAAGCATAGTTATGAAACATTGATCTAAAGAGGATGAAGCCGATGTGATCTCTTGCAGTTAAGCTGGAGTCGAGTTAAAAAAAAATAATAAAAAAATTAAAAAAAGACAAGCATGATGCTGAAGTCAGAAAAAGACAACGTTCAAAGCAAAACAAAACGTTCATTGACATCAACACTCACATAAGCTCGTCGGGGACTAGCTTTGGAAACAAGAGAAACTAAATTGGTGTGCTTCTCTCAACTAGAAAGAGGGCTCCGACGTCTCTAGTGAAGGCAGCGCTTGGTAATTCGCTGGGACTTTGAAGTTATGAAGACTATAAGAAGGGCAGCAGCAACTTCTACGGATAATCGAAACAGATTTACTATTTTTTTCTCCAGACGTTTAAAAATATTATATGCATAATGAATTTTTTTTATTTATTAAATTAAGAACTGCTAGAGATCACATCATTTTTAAAAGCCGCTTAGGAGGATAATCTTAAACCAAAGCCAGCGCTAAGACAAAAATCGAACTGACTTTTTTTAATTATTCATAAATTGAACCTACGATAAATACATTAGCTAAAAAATCTGAAGCATTCGCTAAAATTTAAATGTAAAAATGCATTAATTCATTTCATTAATTCATTCAAAGCAAAACTGTTCAATAATCAAACATACAGATTAATTGTTATTAAATTACCCTTCTTAAATTTTTATGTCTTATCCACTTTGATGTCATGTTAATACTTTTTTTTATTTACCCCATTAAGAAAAGGATTGATTAAGATCAACTGCAAAGTGGTCACTTGAGCCTAATAAACTTTTTGTAAGTAAAAATTATTTGGAATCCATTTAAGAATCTTGATTTAAAATTATCAATAATTTATGCTAAATTACTTTTTTTAATTAAAATTTTACCTATGGATTAAAAACTAAGATTATGGTTTTTTTTAAATGATAGGAGAAAAAATAGGCACTTTTTTATAAATAGCATAATATTGTTACAGCAGGAAATTTTCCTCTGGGTAATTCTAAAATTCATGTGCAAAAATCTGAGCCCAATTTCAAAAGCCCAAAGTAGTGCGTGCACAAGTGCAATTTATTCTAGTGAGAAAAACTGTGAAATCTAAATTACTTTGAAAATGTGTATTTTTAAAATTTTAAAAACAAATTTGCGACCTATCTCTCTTTTTGTGAAAATCCTCGGACTACCACTAGTTTCATAAGCGATGACAAAAATATATTTTCATCTCGGCATATTTTTTTTTTAATTAGACCACAGCCACCGGACACGACTTGAACACAGGAGCTGCGAGTTGCACATCTCACGGATCTGAGACTCAAAACTTTCTCGTCAAAATTTCCGCTTTTGTACTAATCCGTATACGATAGGTTAGACGATACAGGCAGAAATAAATCGTCAGCCTATGTCAGGTACAGTGTCCCTTGCATAGATGGCCGCCCTATAACTGTACCTGTTGCTAGCCGGGCTCCCTCGCCTGTCCTCGCCACAGCCGCCCTCCTCGGCCGCCTCGCCTATGCTTTCGATGAGAGAACCCTCGCTCATATCGGGCAACTGAGTCATTCGAGATCTCAGCAACGACACGTACAACTTGTACCGTTTCAACTGGAAAAGAAAATTTGTATGAAATATTTAAATTGTTAAGAAAATCAAGAACTTATGCACTTATACAGCAGTGATTTAATTGAATAAAGAAGAATTAAAATGTGAAATTGATTGTAATTTAAAATTTATTTTTAAAAAGTTTTTTATTTATATAGATAATTTATTATTAAGTATTTTTACTTCATATTGAAGGTAGTTGTCTTTTTCTCTAAAGTTGTAATGTACAAGTTGCTTGGCGCCTCTTTCCGGAGGATGTTTCCTATGACTTTCCAGCTCCGATTCTAGCTTCTGAACCATAGTTTCATGATCTCTTAATTGATCTCTCTAATACAATAAATAAACAATATTATAAAAAAAATTATAATAATTGAAAAACCGTTGGCATACAAAATTCAGTTTTGTGTGCGAAGACGGAAGAAGTGGCCTTTGGAATTTTTTCTGAGAGCCGACAGCCCCAGGGAGAGGTTGTCCTGAGAAACTCGCGCAAACAAAGTTGATCGTGTCTATCCAAGACTGCAGCTCTTTCGAATCACTGAAACAAATAGTAAATATTTTTTAAATTTAAATTTAACAAAATAAATTAAATAGGTTATACCTCGTTTGGAATAAGTAAACAGCCTGGTCTGCAGTCTCCAACCTGAATACGTGGAGCTTCTTCGTGTAGTCGGTCGCTTTCGTAGCGAGTGCATGATGGATGCGCACAGCATTGTGAAGATTGTCGCTCAGCTGCGTCCTCCTGAATCCGTGTTCGTCTTTATGCAGATAGAGTACAAGATCTCTAAGAGTGCAGTAATACATTTTCCACCCTCTTTTCCCCAAAGGTGCTGTGTAAATCAAGTAAAAATAATTTATAATCTAATTTATAATCAAATATAAACAGATAAAATTAATTTATAAGAGAGCTTTTTTTTTTTAATTTAATGAGTTGGTTAGGGGTTAGTTAAATTTAATGGGTTATGTTTGTATATTTCTACATTTTCTCAAATTAATTAAGGTTTTTAAGTTGAGATAAAAAAGTCAGTGTCACGAGCGGGATTCGAACCTATGATCTTCGGCTTGATACGCCGCTGCTCTACCACTTGAGCTATCGTGACTTCGATCCCCTCGGGCACTAATTTCCCATCTCAACCCCACTTTTTTTCCCCTCCTTTTTGCCATTTTTTATCTCAACTTAAAAGCCTTAATTAATTGAATGTTATTAATTGGTCAAGCAGACCACAAAAAATAGTGAATTTTCTCAAATATTCATTTTTTGTCTTTTATGTACATTATTAAGTTTCATGCTTGTCTGTATCTTTGAGGGCCCTTGATGGTTTTTAATTTGTAATTCTGCTGACTACATGGAGATACCTCACAATATTCATTTATTACTCTTCCTTTTTTTTTTTTTTTTTTTTTTTTTAATTAGTCGGATAGATTATGGATACCAGTACCCCTTGAGTACTGAGCTTATTGTACTCCTTCCTGGTTTGGGAGCTCGCACAACACGCGTAAATTGAACCCCTGGAGTGTCAGTGTCCTTCCATTAAGAAACTCTTTTTTTGAAGGAGGTCAGGATGAATTCAGGGTCTCTGAGACCCGATCACATTGGACCTTCCATTAGCGGCACCCTTATGGTTTGAAAAAAGAAAAAAAAACAGAGATGATGATGGGATGCAAACCTACCGCAGTCCTATTGAAGTTTAGTAAGAAGAATGTTTGCCAAACTCTTAAATTTCAATTTCAAGAATTTTCTTTATTTGACATTTTGAATTGGTTGTCGTCCTCTATGGAAGGCCTACCACGATCTTCCCTAACTTAGAGATTGAAATCTCCAAGATGAAATCTCTGAAATCATTGCTGCACTGTGCATTTGCTAATGCTTTCCTCCCCCCTGTATTGATGTTACACGCGGTTTAGGCCGCACTTCACCCAAGTTTAAATTCATACAAATAAATTTGACAAAAATCTAGTTTAGACATAATTTAGCAGGTCCTCACTCTTATAAAATTCAATATAAACTAAAATGTTTTGTATAAAAGATAACAATTAAAAGTATTTATTATAATCCATAAATTTAGATTTGAGGATTTAGCTTTGTTTACATGAAAACACCAGAAAAAAATAAAACAAATGAAAATAAATAAACAATGCACAAACCCAATAATACACACGTACAAATGGGTTTTGAAGCCATGAGAAAGAAAATATTTTATAATGTACAGTGACACTTTTTCTTTATGAAAAACTGCATGGATTTTTCTGGTTACCTGGTAGTATGAGACTACAGTTAGCATGTTATGTTATGATATAAATGACTAAATATTTCTTAAGTTAAAATATTAACAAAAGGTGCAAAACTTTACTCTTTTTGCCATTGGGCTCCACACAGCATTTCCTCATCACGTAGCCCTTTTTGTACTCGATAGCTGGTGTTGTTGAAGGCACGTCAAAAAGCCCTTTACTCGTTTGTGCACCAGTCACGCCGTCTCTATCTGAACTAATTTTAGAGGATCCTTGGTCATCTGTCTCTTCATCTCTTTGAGGAAAAAAAACATTAGTATATTATCTTGGTTGTAACAAAAATTATACTTACAATGCCCATTCGAGTGGATAATTTTTAATTGACTGATATAAGTTTTTAAGAATGTCCCTCGGGAAATTCTCACCGTCATTTAGTTCGGATAGATTGTCAATGAATTCGTTACAAGTCATTTTCCTCCCTATCGTCTGTCCGTGTAGGTCAGTATTGAGCAACATTATCGCACATGTCAATGTGTGTACCGCATCTGAGAACAAATGAATTGTTTTATAAAGGTGCAAAATAATCATTAAAAAGTGTAAGTTTTCATTTATAATTTTCAGTTTTTATAAGCCACAGTTTTAACCTTAAATTTTAGACAGAGGAAGATCAAAGTGAGGCAAATAGAAGTAGCAAATACTAAGTTTATGTTTATTTATAAACATCCTCTCTAGTTTTGTAAACAGATTAACACATGACTTTCTAAAAATTAACCCGGTTCAATTCTTGCTGGGTGGATAAATTAACAACATTTATTTAGATAAAATTTCAAGCTGATTGCCATACTTAGCCTAAGTTTTGATCACTGAAAAATCAATCCTTAATTTAAATAAGTAAATCTCAAATAAAGAGGAAAAAAGCGGGTCTAGCAGTTATTCAAAAATCCCTATATGAATGTAATCCGGCCCTTAAAATAAAAAAACAATAAAAAACAATGTGATATAAAATCCTTAAATCGTTCCCAAACTCCAAGAATAAACTGCAATGAAATATTCGTAGTACATACAGTGCTCTCTCCCTAATCTGAACATCAGTGCTCGGAACATTCCAGTCACCTGAACTGGAAAAAAATTCAAGAAGTCAGAATTTTAAAGGGATCAAATGAAACATTCAAGGAAGCTTTTTGAGGATCAGGGATGTGGTCCAATTAGAGAGTATTATATCTCTGCCAAGCTTTAGACTCTTTATTCAGTCTACATCAGAGCTGAATAACACCGTCAAAGAAAGTGAACAAAAGCAATACGTTGGAGTACTTCAGTAATCGTTTTTCAATAGTTAATTAGGGAGAGAAAAAGAAAAGGGTGTGAGGACTCATACAAAAAACACGACCAGCTTAGACTACATGCAATTTTGATAATTTCTATTGTTCAATGAATCTCTCACCTTCTTTCACCAATAAAAAACGAAATTGGTTTATATTCTCCTTATTTTAAGTATAATATACCTACTGCTTAAAAATGAGTAAAAAAAGAGGAAGAAGCAATGAAGAAAATATTAAATAAATTGTTAAAAAACTGATCTTTTAAATAAAAATTGACAGTATGTTACTATAACAGGTTTAATGTTTTGTGTAATTATTTTTATTTATTTATTAATTTTATTATTTTTATTATTATTTTTTTTTTTTTTGAAACCCACTATAATCTGAATCCTCTGCATTAGAACAAGTGAGATTTGTATTTAATGGTGTGCTTTTATTGCTGTTTGCTTATCACTAGTACTTGAAATTGCGCGAAGAAATGACATGACTATCAAAAACATTTCAATGAAAATCAATTAAAAGTGTCTAATCTATAAAAAAATAACGATTGCTAAAAATGAAACTAGTATGAATTTATGCCTGAGTTTATAAAAATTATGATCAGAAATGTTGCTTGCTGTGCTTTTGTTTTATGGAAATTTTTTGAAAAAACATCCTGGCAGTATAATTTTGTTTTCCCATTCTATTTAGCTTTTATGAGAGTTATACATCTAGTTTAATTATTTATTTGTAAATAACTAATAACCGCAATAAAAAACTTTAAAAAATTATGAAATTTAAATCTTAGATGAAATATTACCTTGAGAAGTAAATATGCCAGGATTGCAGTCTAAATATCTTTTACTAAAATGTACCAGTACTCTTTCACGCTCCTGCGTCTCACCGGTAAGGCAGAATTGAGTGAGGAACTTCCTGAGAGCTGCATCGAGAGAATCTCCCATGAAAGTGAAATATTTCAGGTACTCTTCAGCTACGGCTCGACTGAATTCGTTGCTGAAGAATAAGCCGATACGTTAAAAACAGGATGACAAGCAGAGGGGGAAAAATTGAAAATGTACTTTTTACTCAGATGCCTTGATACGTCTGATTTCTTAAAACCGTCAAGGGTGAAGAGACGTTTTGCAAGCCTAACAGCACTTGGGATGTCAACGCCCTTTGGGCTGTAGTGATAGGAGTGGAGAGAGTCAACATCAGAATCCTCTTCCTGGTTTTGGGAAGGAGGTGGCGACACTGATTTTGCAAGGTTGGCAGCACCTTCTGTAAGCTGCAACAAGCTTTCTTCATCTAGGTCCTAAAAACATCACACATCAGTGGTCTTATAAGAACACTTAAATCAATTAAAAATACCTCATAAATATTATGATCCATGTTCTGGTAATGGTCAACATTGTTTCCTTTGTTGCTTCCGGTACTGAGTCTACGTTGCCTTGGGCTGTTGGATCTACTGTTGTTATTGTTGTTGTTATTATTATTAGTGCAACCTTTTTCAGGGCCTTTCACCTAAAATTTTATTTAAAAATTAGCTTTGTATTACTAATCAGTGTGATAAATATAATAGAACTTTGTAAACCGAATGGCGCTCAGGATGTAGATCAGTGGAATTGGCTGAACTACATAATCCACCGAAGCAATTCATTTTGAGAATGGTTATAGTTGGCGTTAATTCTCAACCGAAATGATAGGATAGAGACATAAAGATAGCAAATGATAGATAACGTCTTATCACTTAATAGTAAACACGTCAACAAATATAAAATGTAGGTAACAAGCGTGAACACTATTTACTGACATGCGAATGGAATCCACTGACACAGGGGATAAAAATCAAAGGTCGTCACAAACCTGCCCACCCACATTTGTCTTTCAACATGTAAATTTATTTAAATTGTGTGATACTGAATAAAACGTGAATACAGAGTTCTAAAAATAGTGTTTATCACCTCATTGTTTTATTGTGTGTAAAAAACAAATAAGAAGATGTTCAATGACAAATAATAATTGTAATTTGTATAAATGGGATAAGATCAATACACGATCATAATCATCATCACATGAACAAAAGTAAAATTGTTCTTTTCAATAAAGCATGTAAGTAGATTTACTAAACAATAGATGTATTATAAATTTTTAAAAAAATATATATATTGTATTTTTATGACCAATTAAATTATGAAAAAATCCCTGATTCGATTAGAGTTACAAAATATATCCCCAGAGACAAAATTATGATTTGCACAGTTGGAAATATTTTCTTGTACAGTGAAACTTCCCTATAACGGACATCATTGGGAATGAAATATTGCTGCTACTTATGGAATAAATAGTTTACTTTTCCATGACCAGAGGGTTTTTCAAATTCACTGAGCTGCATAAAGGCAAAGTTACACGCTCCTTTAAAACTTTTCCTCTTTAAAACAAATTTTTAAACCTTTTGTAAAATGCTTCAAAAAAAATAAAGCTGTCTTATCGCAATTAAAAATATTTTTGGGTTCCAAATCAAAACAATATTAAGTTTATCAATGCAGGTTTGTACAATCTCGTTCCTTAGCTCCAATAATGGTCTTAAAAGGTATCTTATGTCATCAAGCCAAACTGAAGATACTTTAAAAACCATTTGCCCTAAATGTTTTGCAACTTCTAAGTCCTTTTCTTGGATAAACAGGCCAGACAGCTGTATTTTACAAGCCCGAGAATGGCAAAACCATTCTAATATGCTCTGGTCTATGGCTGAACCAGACATTTTAGGAAAAAATCCAAGAGGACGTGTTCATTTGCCTGGCTGTTTATGATGAAAAACTGTGTTGCCAAGACACACTTAGTTTTTCACTTTTGCTCACTTTAATTTTATTAATTTTTTATAAGGTTTTTATTATATATTATTAATTTTATTTTATAAGGTTCTTTTTTTTTTTTTGTAACGTTTTGGTTGAAATAAAAAAATAGTGTCACGAGGGGATTCGAATCCACGACATTTGTCTAAATACGCCGCTGTTCTACCACTTGAGCTATCATGTCTTACATCCTTTCGGACACCAAAAAATGGCAAAAAGAGGTAAAATTCAAAAGGTTGTAGGTCGAGATGGGGAGTTGGTGTCCAAGTGGATCGAACTATCGAAGTCATGATAGCTCAAGTGGTTAGAGCAGATGTGTATTTAGCTGAATGTCGTGGATTCAAATCCCCTTGTGACACTATTTTTTAATTTCAACCCAAAAAAAAAAAAAAAAAAAAGATTAACATCTTAGTTATATTTACTCCAGCTTGTTACCCCCTTGATTAGAAAACAAAAGACAGTCATGAGAGAAACCATCACTCTACATGAAAGGTTGGCAGCCACATTATGATTTCTCACTATGGGGATGAACTACGAAGAACTTAAGTTCTCTACTAAGATCTCAGCTCAGCGCTTAGGGGTTATCAATACCACATCTGTCATTACATTTCTATCCTTTGATGTTTTGAAAAGGTCGACCAATTGGTCGAGGACTGAATTTCTTTTATTTCTAACATGGTACTGTCCACCACTTTCCATAAACATGGTAAACTTTCATACAATTCAATCACCTCAACAATAAAATCTCGATAGGATGTCAATACCAATAAAGAATAAACGTTTTTGACTTTTTGAGAATGTACGATGGAGATGTTTGCTCAGTGACAGAAAGACAGGAAAAAAAAAACTCCAATATTACACCATTCACGCCAGGTTTTCCCATTCACGAACACACCATGCTGTCGTTGCACCATAGATATTTGGAGTGACAAGATGGAATTTGGACCTGTTGAATATTCGGCACAGCTCGGCACGCAATTTCAGTTTTGCCATTGACATGGTTTTTGGAATGGCGTCGCTCTGTTTGGACTGCTAAGAGCGATCAAGAATGGTCATCTTTAAACGTACGGAAGAAGTACTTAAACACGTTTGCGGGGAAGGGGCACAAAGGTTTAAGGGCTAACACGATGCTCATCACTGGTAAATTCATCTGATGATCCTGCATTAGAACCCAATATACTTACAAATGGGCTTTTTTATTTTCAACAACCCTGAGGGTTCATATAACCGTGTAGTTAATACCCACCTTCATTAAAAAAAAAATTTAATTAAATTAAATAATAATAATAAAAATGCAAAGTGGCACAATTAAAAATCTAGCAATATTGGGAAAATATTTAAAGGAAAAAAAAATAAATAAAAATAAAAATAGGGAAGATAGCATTATTTTCTGGAGGCTGCTGTCTGCTTTTGGGAGAATTTTCAAGCCAGAATATAGTCGAAAAAGCTGTCCCCATCTATTATTGGGAGTGTCTGCTTTCTAGAAGATTTTAATTAATACTAACTTTTAAATTATTTTATCAGCTTATTCTTAATTATATAATTATTCAATTAATTATACATAATTTTTCGAAATGAAAAATTTGTATCACAGGTGGAATTTGAACCCACGACTTTCAGTTAAATACAATTGGAATAAACGGGGAGTCGAAATGGGAAGTTTGTGGCATGGGCGATCAAAATCATGGTAGAGCAGCGGCATATTTAGCCAAAAGTCATGGGTTCAAATCCCGCCTGTGACACAAATTTTTCCTTTTGAAAAAATTGTGTATAATTAATTGAGAAGAGTTTAATGTGAAGAAACTAAGGGGAATCTGATTTTGTCCGTTCAAGAGAGGTGTCCGATAAGGGAAGTTTCACTGTATTTTTAACAAGCAAAATTTCTTACCTGAATAACTATTCTGTGTTGCCGGCTGCCTTTGGTAGTCTCACTTACAAGCAAAGTCGAGTCGGAGTCACTAGGATCGCTCACTTCCATGACAAAGTCCCGAGCGATAATTTCAGAATCTTCCTCTATAAAATCAGGAGAACTAATGTTGGAGATTGCCTCAGATTGGGAAAGATCACCTGTGATGAATATCAACTCTTATGAAGGAGAAGAGTATAAATGATATGGGTGAAAAACAAAACAAAATAAAAATAATGTGATGTTTGGAAAAATAAAAGTGATTTTTTTTCTTCTTCTCCTCGGCCTATCTTTACCTTGAGGAATGGCTGGGAGTGAATCGGGCTTTCGATCATCAGCGTTCAACTTCTTATCAGAACATCCTGACGAAGAAGAGGAAGAGGACATAACGGAACTTGAAACCGATGTGGGGGATGCCGGCGAGCCGGATCGGTGTGGTGATACATTATTGGAAGACGTCGTCGTTCTTGAGCTAGAATTTGATGACGAGGGTGCATTGTATGTCCATACTATCCTTTGGTCCTCATTTTCACTGTCTTGCCTGGAAAATTATGAAAATAAGACCTACTCAGTCGTGCAGATAAGAGCAATTATCACAAAGCGGGAGGAAACTGATAAAGATATCAAAAAGCTGATTTTTATTTTTAATTCAACAGAATCAAATTGGTTAAAATAATGTTTACGATAAAGATATGCAATTTGTTTTATGCTGATTTATTCTGCACATAATCCTCAAGTATACTACAGCATTACCAACAAAACAGTAAGTGTTTATAAATTACTGGAGAAATTAAAAAATGACAAACCTAGTGTCTAAGAGCGTGTTGAGAGAGGAGGTGACGTCATCGTCTATGTCTATCGCGACAGCAGACATAGAGTCCTTGTTGGACTGTAGGTGATCCTCAGATTTGGAAGTTCTGACAACGTAAGAAGCAGTAGTGGAAGTGACGGCCGCCGATGTGGGGCCAGAGGCCGGTGGAGTCGGCGAGGTGCTCGCTGAGCCGACCTTGTTCGTGTGTCGTTCGGCCTCTACAGGGCTTGTCGGGACAGAAGCGTGCCTCTGGTGGTTATTGTAAGGGTGGATGTTATTCCTAAGCGAGTCCACTTTCCTCTGTTGCTTAGGAAGTACAGAACCTAATAAAAACCAGTATTTAAAAATAATAATAAGTTGTTGTTTGTAAATTGGTTTTAATAACAATTCCATTTATTTCAAATTTTACACAATTAAAAAATAATTATAAAATTAAATTAAGTTGATGTTAAATATTGCTAAATGTTACTTAAAACAACCATTCAATTATGTTAATTCAAAATGAATTTTGAATACTATGGAAAAAAAATCCATGTGCACTTAGGTCAATTCTTGTTATCCTTGTAAATTTTGACTAATTTTCAATTAATAAAAAATAAACAAAAATTCTAGCAGGCATATTAAACAAATTAATAAATAAATAAAAATTGGAATACATTAAGTATAATTAATACCATAATTCAAGTGAACATACCCATTGTGATAATTAAGTTATTACTTGAGGTGCCGAAAGCATTTACAAAATCCAAGGGTGGCCAAGGATTGTAACTTTGAAAGTTTACCATTGCGGTACAAATAGTAGATTAATCCATGAAACTATCCCATAAAATCATTGATTCTATAATAAAAATATAAAAATGAAAACTATAGATGAATTTATAAATTTTCCATATCAGCTGTGGTGAATTAGCTGCTGTTACAATTTTTTTTTTAAATTTGCCAATAATTCTATACGAAACCGACCTTGCTGGGTCCTGCAAATCTTAAGGACTCGATCACCGGTCATGACGAACGCCTCGAACTTGGGCTGCTGGTGGTCGTGCTTAGGTTCAGACAGCGAGTCGCCGTTTGTTCGCGTCACGTCTTCAAGGGGCGGCGGGTGCACCGGCGGTGGTGGCTCGACTCCACCGGCACACTCATCGAGGGTGCTGCCGCAGTCGGATATCAACTCTGGCAGGTTTATCTCCCCCCGGCACTGGACCGGGGTCGAAAGGTAGTGCCTCATCCTCGCCTTCATTACTGGGTCTGTTCAAAAATAAATAAATCAACAAAGTTAAATAAGAAAAATAAACCATAATGTAAAAAAAAAGCTCACCTCTTTTTAATCTGAGAGATACAGGGTTTTCGCAAAGGCGTAGACATTTTAGAACTACAAAAATTAATTACCAATAAATTAGTTTTTTTTAATTTTCTTGATAAGTTAAATTTTAAATAAATTTTATATAAAAGCTTTAAAATATCAAAATTTGACTCTAGGGAGCGTGAATTTGGGCTGTAAACTTACCAACATCATGCATTGCAACTTTCAACTAAATGCTACTTAAGGAGTCAAACTGTTATTGCCTGTTGAGTCATTTTGTGATAAATACATAGAGTTGATTCATAAGAGATCACAGGGTCACAGTTTGAACGAGTATATCTGATATGTCAAGTTACGCTTTGTTTGAAAATAAGGACGGGATAATTAATTCAAAAGCCTGAACTCTCTGGTTTTCTTGGGTTGCCCAACCATTACGAATTATTCATAAGGATAATCATGTCGTTAACGGCTCAGTTTTTACCTATCAGACCAAGAAGGATATCGCTCTTTTTTCATTTCAATGGGATATAAAGAGGAAAAATTCAAAAAAATTAAAATGTAATGATCTGAGTAATAAATTATATTATTATTGCATTAATAGAATCATAGACTGATTCTACATATATTATTAGTTGCAAGGCAGAATAACAAATTGTTTTGTGCACTCTTGGAAGAAAATGAATTTCAGCAAAACAGATACATGGATAAATGGAAAATTAAAATTTGTAAACACTAAACAATTAAACCTAGTAAAATTGATATTCTCAACAGCTACATCTAGCAATAATTGCATCTCAGTGGAACTTCATTGATTATGATATTGCCACTGTACAAAATTTAAACGGAGAGACAGTAAGATTGATATGGTCAAATGGCTGCAGATTAAAAAAGAACGTGTGAAAGATAAACTTTTAATTAAAAAATATAAATAAACATTTATTTCATCACATGAAAAGATACTACAAACTCAAAAACACAATTGATTAAGGTTTTTCAAAAGGATAGAAGAACTGGCAATCATTTTCATTTTAGGGTTTACACATATCTAAATATATGTAGGATAAGACACCAGTCACAAAAAGCCTTGATTTTGGGTTTACTTTTAACTATTCTGTACGTTCATTTCGTTATTAAGGCCCATTACAGATTAATACACACTGAGTAAAACATAAAAAATGATCAAAATTAAAATATTCTAATCATTTTCTAAAGGTGATGGAATAAAACTAGTTTTACCTTCTTTTGTGTTCAACCTATTGACATCGGTTTCGTTCACTTTTAATATGACATCTCCAGCTTCGACCTGAAATCACATACATAAATAAATATATAAAAATAAAATATAATTTTTTTTCTTTGTGGGGGCGATATTAGCGGCTTATCCTGGATTATAGGTTATTTCTTAATTAACTGTCTTCTCTTTGTGGATGATGTAGCCATCCTGGCTAGTTCTCCTGGTGCTCTCAGAGGAACTTTGCCAAATTGAAAAATTGCTAACTGCTGGAATATGTTTTCAATGGAACCTTTGTGTCCATTTAAATAAATAAAAAAATCATGGGTTTTTTTTGTAAGGGAGGAAGGCTGGCAGGGATCGCTGGTTCTTCCAGGGCGAATGAATCGAAGTCGTGAAAAGGATAATATCTGGGGGTCATCGTAACACCAAAACTCTCTCTGACTCAACCTAAAAAAGAAAGTTTCAACGTCCATATTCGCTATTAATTCAATTTCGTCCAGCCTACTCAGGCTGCTTGTTAGGTTTGTAGATAGCGACGTTTTGATTTAGTTAAATTTTTTCAACATTTCTTTAACAGAAAATTATTTCACCACATGACCATTACTCTGAACTACATCTGCTTGGAAACATCAACAGGCTCTTTCTTCTTGTAAACTTACTTCTTCACTCCTGCACTCTCATTACCTGAACACAGACAACTATTGAAAACTATTGCAGTTGAAATGATTAATACCAACTGTCCTGGTTCAAAACGGTCAATTAATTAGTCCAGGATTGTAATCAGGACTTTGTTTTTACTGTTAGTAACCATGAAGAATGGTTTTCAATAATCCTGTTTTTTTGTTTTGTTTTTTAATTCATTTGTTCCAGACACGTCGAAGATTTTTCCAAATTGGCTTATTGATCCATTCAATTTCTGCTATATAAGGAACTTGATTCAAAACTTTTTTTTTTAACTAAACAATAAAAATCTGATGTCCCGTGTAATATAAGGTGGTTCTTCAAGCTTAGATGCAAGCTGATCTACCTTAATTTCTCCCCACAGATAGATGATTCTGTCACTGTCCGCTGAGTTGATTCTCTTTTTGGGTTCTTACAGAATTTCGAGAGTGTATTCTCGAAGAGGAGCTCTGTATGTTAGTTTTTGTTCTATGTATGGCAGACACCAGGAACTCATTTTCTCTTAGGTTTATTTTTGTCTTATTTTATTTTTTGTATATGTATTTTTTTTAAATGTATGTATCCTTGTTTTCAAGTGAATTATCCAGCCACCTATTCTGGCAGATGGTTTTACAATCAATGCTGAACTTTTTATTTATTATGATTAAAAACTACTTTCTCCAGTCTTCATTCATTCATAAGAAAAAGCCAAATTATTATTTAGCCAATATAGAAAAATACCTTAAAGTTAAATATTGCACTATTTCAAAGATAATATCAAAGTCATAGCTGATTTTTTGTTTTAAATTTTGAGTGTGGCATTTAATAAAAAATATTCAATTGAAACAAAATATACACGTATGTTTATAAGGAGTTAAGTAAGTTATAAGTTTCGCTTTTCTTTTCCGAATTTAAAATTGTCAGTGTTGACCCAGGATAATCGACAACCTGGTAATAATTTTCTACTCATCACACCGTGTCTAATTGGACAGAATTGTATTTTATGTTCTTACAACAATAAATGTAAATATTAATTTACTAGAGAATCCTTATCAGTCGTTAATAAAAGTTGTGAGACACACTTCTACTCAGTAATATATATTTTTTCTTCAAAACTTCAAAGACAGGGGTTGAAAATTTTGAAGAAAAAACTTGCAAAATTTTCCATAAATCGGAAAACTAAAGAAGTAAACATCTGCACGTTTTTATAGAAATTCCAGTGAGGCTATTAACTATCAGATATAGAAGCTCAGCTATTTCCTTTGGGACTTTCCAACTTGTAATACAAATTCCCATATATTCTATCTTCCTATTTATATTTCTCACTGACAACTTTCGTCTTTTTTAATACAAATATTAAGTTAAGTATTAAAACTTTAAAATAATTATTAATTATTCAAACGAAAGCAACTAATTATTATAAAATATAATTTTCTGTCCTTCAGATAATTGATTGGTCTGATTCTGTGAAAAAAATTTGTAAAATTGCATTTGTACAATGATCAGAGTTCAAATTCATAAACTTATTTTATTGTAATTTTAATAAAAAATAAAAAAATTCATCATAAGTTTAAATGATAAAAGAAAAGAATATTAGAAATTTCTTCTCTGTTTTTAAAATATGTGAAATCTGTGAAAGTGAAAGTTATAATATATTGGTAAGAGTGAAGAGCTCAGTTGAATACTGTTAAAAAGCTTTATATGACTGGATAAGACTATATATTTTATTATTATAAACTTGTCACTGGCAAATTATTTTTATAAGTGTCTTTAATTTTATCATTCACATAAGAAGTATTGAAAATTAATGTTTTGTAAAAACATGGTTGATTTGACTTTTTTATGTATGATCAGCAGAAATCCAAAATTTTATTATGCAGAGCACATAAATTTCCTTACTAGATTGAACAAGTCTCATTTAAATTAAGCCCTAGACTAAAAATAGAGGTAAACAATTGTTTTTCAAGGAGGATTGCAATTATGTCTAGACCGGCCAAGTGAAATTGCAATGTTCCAAGGCTATTTAACAGAAATACGATTCGAAAAGGAAACAGTCATTATTGTTACATTGACGGCATAAAAGATTGACACCGAGAAAGAAAAGAAAATGTATCCAATCGGAAAATTTCAATTCATGGAAAGCACAAATAATGAGAGAAAAAATATTTACTCATATTTTATTAGAGAATTTTCTTTCTCAGTGGATAAATAATTAAATGATGTTTTAAATGAACAGGATGTAAAAGTGCTAAGGAATTTTTGTATTTGAACTTTAATATAAGGGCAAAAAAAAACCAATGGTCCTGAGATAGAAATATAATTTGCAAAGTGTGTCTAGGATTACCTCGAAATAAAACCCTCCCTAGAATTTTATTTTATCACCTTATGTGTGTAAAAAATTTAGGTCACTTTTAATCAGACCTACAATTTAAAATTAATTGTCCCTAAAGTGATCGCATCCTGTTAAACGATTAAATATTATTGAAAGGGTTGTACATTGAGTCAACATTACATCCCATGATTTTTATATTTTCACCTTAGTAGGGCAAGGTGGCCGAGTGGTTTAGGGTTCAGCCTCTTATTTTCCACAAAAGTGGCATTGGGTACAAAATCTTGCCATAGCTCATGGTATTTTTTAAAATGGAAATTTTACTTAAAAAGTATTGTAAACTGGTATGACCCTTGTTTGCAACACCCAATGCTGGAAATATGACAGAAATTTCTTTACTTATTAATGTTAAAAAATTACACGTCATTTACGAAGATTTTGATTTACTAACTATATCTTTTATTGTGACTACGAGCTCAAATAAATAATTATATATTAACAATGTTATTAAGGTTTTTTAAAGGAATTTCTAAAAAATGACGATAAAATCTACATGCTGAGTTTGTACTTCAGCTGAAAACTTCTTGTAGAAGATTTTTGATTGAGACTTTTATAAAAGTCTACACCAAAATGCAATTCTGAATTTACAATACTTCTAGTTTTAAATTATACTTTAAATTTGAACCTGTTCAGCTTGCCGAATGATTGATGGTTTGCTTAAATGCTATTAATGTTGTCGTCATTATGAGACAGAACATTAAAAAAAAAATGTCGAGTTGAATAAAGCAGTTTATATAAAAAAAAGTTATTCTGAGTTTAAAAGCACAATTCTTAACGCTGACGTTCAGGGGAGCTAAAGTATTCCAGCAACTTGCAGTCAGTTCAGAATGTTTAAGAATTATTTTCTTTTATTTTCTGCCCGGGCAAAAATTGAAATTCCGTTCACAACATTGAACATGTTAAACAATGTGATTACGATTTTTCAAAGGGAAGAATAAAATAATAAGGGAATCACTCCACTCTTTATCTGTCTGACCAAGAATTTTTAAAATCTGCATATCAAGGACTGTACATATCAAAAAAAAAAGTCATGTGTTTGAGTCAAAACTACAAAATGCCATTCCTAATTTACAACGTTTACATTTTAATTTATATGTTTTTAATAAATTACGATTAATTAAGGTTTTAAGTTAAGATAAAGTTTTTAATAAAGTTCAGCCTGCCTGATTCATTAAAAGACAATTTAAAAAATATGAATAAAGTAATGTTTATTTTTAAAAAAAGTTACTCTGAGCACAATTACTAATACTGACATTCATGGGAGCCTAAGAATTCCAGCAACCTGCAGGCAGGTCATAATGCTTAATTTGTTTTTTAATTTTCCTCCCATGCGAGGGGGTGAGGCAAAACTTAAAAAAATGTCAAGGAGAATAGAGTAGTTTAAAAAAATTTACTCTGGGCTTAAAAACACAATCATTAATGCTGACGCCTGACTTTCAGAGAGACAAAATCTTCCAGCAACCTGCAGGCAGGTCACGATAAGTATTTTTTTTTACCTATCAGTATCAGTTACCTATCATCTTGGTCTGCCTATCCTCGCTGATTTTTGGTTCATACATGGCATTTCACACCCTTTTCAGCATTTAGGTGATATATGAATATGAATCATCATGAGATATCATGCGAACCGCAGGAGGAAATTTGACAATTTTTTTAATCTGCCACCTGAGCGAGGGGGTAAAAATTTAAAATTCGAGCTCGCAATGAATACAGTCACTGCAATTGACGCCACACCATGGAAGACATTCTAAATGTTGCAATGTATCAATTATGAGACAAAAAATAAAATATCCAGTTAAATAAAGTAATAAACATAAAAAATTACTACTTCAAGCTTAAAAACATCATAATTAACGCTGACATTAGGGGAAAAGTATTCCAGCAATCAGCAGGCAGGTCATGATTCATGGGAATTTATTTTTCCATTTGTTACCTCAGGGAGGAAGCGAAAATTTAAAATTCTAGCTCGCATTGAACACAGTCACTGTGAATGAAGCCATAGTTGATCCTATAAGCGTTACAGCAAATTAAGCTCTAAATTCTTTCATATCTCAAATAACAACGGGTTGATTTTAAAAAATCAAACAAAATAAGTACCTCACTGAATGTGTTGCTTTTCAAAGTAAAGAACAGAGCTATTATGATTTTTCAAAGGGTAAAGAAAAGTTATGAGGGAATCTCTCTCAAGTTGAAAACCCAGACCAAATATGAGCCTGTTCAGCCTGCCAGACGATTGAGGTTCACCGCTAGTAATGTCATGCCGTTAAATAAAGTAATGTCCATAACAAAAAGTTACTCCAAGCTTAAAAACGCCATCATTAACGATGACATTACAGGGAGACGAAGTTTCCAGCAATCTGCAGGCAGGTCTTGATGCATAGGAATTTTATTTATTAATTTGTTGCCTGGGGGAGGGGGTGAAAATTTAAAATTCTAGCTCCCATTGAACACAGTCACTGTGAATGACGCCACAGATGATTCTATACGCATTACAGCATACAAAGCTCTCAAAAATATCCACTTGATAAAAAATTGAATCTAATAAGTACCTCAATGAATGTGTTGGTTTTTATAGTGAAGAACAGTTATTATGTAGCCTCTCAACTCTTTATCTGTCCAAGAGGTTTTAAAATCATAATTTAAAAATTGTGTGTCAACAGCCGTTCATCGTACAAAAAAACCGGAATCTGTTGACTAAATGTTTAACTTATGGTGTCAAAAAAACAAATCCTAATGCTAATAAACTTTAATAAATCTAATGTTACTATGACATATTGAATGGTGGACGGTGGTCTGGGAGTCAGCGAACCAGCTGGGTCAGTTTGTAATCACAGGCTTTTGACTTTATGCGATCTTCAGTGATGAATGACCCGGCATCAGATCAACATATGACCGGTGTTTGACACTCAATAAGTGAAATTTTAGAGGGATGACATGGGCATGTTGTCATTATGAGATTAGGGGAGAATGTACAAGAGGTCGAGTTGACGTTTCTGATAAACATCGGCAATTTAATCTGCAATGTTATACAAATATAACTTGAGCTTTGGAAGAAGAGGATGAGCTCGGATTAAAAATAGATCCGATTGTTGTTTATTTCAAGGCGGTGATCAATTTTAATTGAGCCTGGCGAGGAGAAATCGCCAGGAAGAAAGCCGAAGTTTTCAGGGCAAGTCGGTTTAATTAAATGATCGCCGTTTCGCTCCGGAGCGAATCGCTTTTGGAGACGTCAATATTGACATTGGTCAACAGTCTCCGGGCTTCAAGGGAAGCGAGACGTAAACAATACACGGTAACGCCTACTTTGAAAAAGAAACCTACTGCTAAACATAAATCAATACAATTTAATTTAAAGAAATAAGGAATTTGAAATATTTCAAGTTTATGCGAGAGGCCGGGGGTGAAAATGTTGAATGTAGAGGCGGGCGGAAGGTGGAAAATAAGGACTTACGTTGCCGCTTTCGGCTGCGGGCGAGTTCTCGACGATGTCGTAGATGATGGGCGGTAGGCCGGGGGTGCCGAGGAGCGAGAACCCGAGGCCGCAGGTCGGATCCTTTTTGTTGAGGACGACGAGGAGCTCCTCAGCCATGGCAGGCGGAGGCGGAGGGCCGTGCTAGTGGCGCAGACGAGGGGCCGGGGGTGGCGAGGCGAGCCGCCTCCGGCGCATAAACGGGCCCGGCCCGGTCGAGCGGTTTGAACTGTCGGAGTTTTGTCGGCCGAAGAGAAACGCCCAGGATCGGCCGCACCTTCTTCCGTCGGGGGCCTCCGATCTTCTGGCTCCACGGACTTTCCACTGATGACCACCAGTTTCGACTTCAGAGTTCGGACTGGAACAGGTGTTCGCGCTGATCTCGCCACCGCTTGCTTCGGTTCAAACGCCGCCCCTTCGACACCGCCTTCCTTCCAAATACTCATTAAACTATTTTCTACTTTTCTTTTAAAATTTCACAAAAATATTTCATTAATTGCATTTTTCCCTCTAATGGATTCTTGTAACGCCGAAAAAGGTTTTCGCCAAAAAGTTCCCAAGATCAGGTCAACACTGTTCACCCCCCAGAAAACTTGGCTCCATTTTAAAAATTTCAGAAGTTCCCTTATCATCCAGCTTAAAATTGTAAACAAAACAACTTTAGTTTACAAGAACACAATTTCAAATAAATTTAAATTATAAATAAAAAGGACCAACGGTTATTAGCTTCTAATTACATCGACTTGCAAAAATGAAATGGATCAATTTAACAAACTCATCATAAGTGTAGATCCGAGTCATTATATTTGAAAATTACGCTTTTTCATTTATTCCTATATATCCATTTTCTTCCATTTATTCGAAATTTTCTTTTAAAATTTCACATTAATTTAATTTTCTTTTTGTTTTTTCTTTAATCCTTCCTTTGTAACGGCGAGAAAGATTTGCGTCAAAAAAAGTTCGGAGATCGGTCAACACTGTTCATCCCCAGAAAACCTGGGTCCATTTTAAAAATTTCAGAAGTTTCCTTATCACCCAGCTTAAAAGTTAAAAAAAACATCAATTTTAAATAAAAACAACTTTAATTTACAAGAGTACAATTTAAAATAAATTTAAATTATAAATAAAAAGAACGAACGGTTATTAATTTCTAACTACGTCGATTTGCAAGTTGCAACAATGAAATGGATCAATTTAACAAACTCATCATAAGTGTAGATCCGGGTCATTATATTTGAAAATTACGCTTTTTCATTTATTCCTGTATGTCCATTTTGTTCTTCTTCCATTTATTCGACTTTTACACATTAATTTTCTTTTACTCTTGTTTTTTCTATAATTGATTCTTTGTAACGGAGAGAAAGATTTGCGCCAAAAAGTTCCCGAGATCTGGTATCACTGTTCACCCCCATAAACTTGGCTCCATTTTGAAAATTTCAGAAGTTCCCTTATCACCCAGCTTAAAAGTATAAAAAATACCTATTTTAATTTGCAAGAACACAATTTAACGTAAATGTAAGTTATAAATAAAAAGAACGAACGGTTATTAACTTCTAACGACGTCGATTTGCAAGTTACAACAATGAAATGGATCAATTTAACAAATTCATCATAAGTGTAGATCCGGGTGATTATTTATAATTATAAAGGTGATTATAAATTCCGCTTTTTCATTTAGTTCTGCATGCTCATCTTGTTCTTCTTCCATTTTATTTGACTTTTCTTTTAAAATTTCACATATAAAAGTACAATTGTTTGTCCTGTTAGATCGGGTCAAGACTGTTCGCCCCCCGAAACCTCGGCTCCATTTTGAAAATTTCAAAATTTCACCCGCTTTATAAATTTAAACAAAAACAAATTTAATTTAGATATATGATTGAAAGTATAGGCAATTTGAAAGTAAAAAGAAACAACATTTATAAAAATTTTATTTCGACGACACAACAAAGAAATGGGTCCCAGACCCAGTAACGGGCGGCATTGTGGCAAACTTACCTCGATCAAAGCAGAACATGACCTACATGGTTGAATACCTTATAAAAATTAAAATATAAAAATAAAATAAATGCAAATCAACTTTGCATATTTGTAAATATTTATACTCTACGTGTTGTAATTTTAAATTGCAGATAGTAATAATAGCAAATTTCTTCATCAATTTGCGCGCATTACTGCATATAGTTTACAAGTATGTAGCAATTACTTAACTACCCCATTTTGAAACCTGCTGGAAATTCCATACGGCGGGCTAATGGATATGTCCAAAAAAAATCTGCCGGCTTGGTTGATTTTGATTTAAATGCTATGTTTTAATAGACCGAAAAAAGTAAAATAAATGAATAATAAAAAAAGTATAAAACAAAACCGGAATTTAGTGAGTATTTGACATGTGTAGGCCATGTGCTATTCTCCACCCTTCCACCTGCTCTTACAAGGTAGTTTTCACCCTGGTTATTCACAGTACTAATTTACAGCCAATGTAAACAAAATCACATTCCGCCCCCCACGGTTAGGAAGAAAGGAGACGATCCCCAATAAACAATACAAGCAATTGTAGAGTGAGCCGGCAAAATTCAGTCGAAAATAGCAACCGGTTTCGGCATTTTCGAGGACAAGATGTTGAAGACTTACAGCCGTTCACAGTCGCAGAGGAGCAAATCGGCCTCGACGACGGCTATCCCTCTTCCAAAGGAGTTCGTCGACTCTTGCCGGCTCTGTCTCACAAACAAAGGCAGCTATGAGATGTTCAGGTCAAAAATACCTCTCGTCACAAAGGAACAGATCAAGTTCTGCACTGGGATCGAGGTGGGTACGAATTTTAATTCAACCGTATAAACTGTAAAGGCTTGTGAAGCCACGTGGTTTTAAGTTAGCAATGCTATTGGTTCCATGTAGACAGAAGGTAACAAAAAAGTACAGTGGATGGTAAGTACACGTATCCGCTTCTTACCAGCTAAGAACCTAGCTTTTCTTTGTTGGTCATTCGCAGACAAGCAGTTAAACCACCTAAGTCCTTCAGCCAAGAGTCCACCTCCTTCCAATACTTCCCCAGTTTGTCTTCCATTATCAACCTGAGCAATTCATAGCAGGCTCCATGCTTCTACATCTGCAGAAGGTGACACAAAGAGATTGTCCTGTAATTCTTAATTTTATGGGAATTGGAGAGGGTTTGGAAGTCTCTTCAATTGCATGAGTTGGTTTTTGGGGTCTTCCTTTGCACGTTCCCCCGGTGTTTTTTGTTTGCTCTTGGTTTTTTTCTATGAGATTCCTACGAGTGACGATCTGAAGGTCCGCACCGGAGAAGCCCTCTCTCCAGTGTAAGGTTAATTATTCAAGGGTGTAACCTGGAGCCCTTGAGGCTTCGTTATTGGTACAGTTATTCCTGTACCATTCATCCATTATCCTGTACAATACCATCTACACCTTAGATTTGGTACTGGCATGTGAGGCTAGGATTGGGTTTAAGGTGGGAAGAGAGGTAAGTTGTGGGATATTTGGATTAGGAGGTGACAAGTCCAGCTCCTGTTCCTTCCGTTTGTTAAATTAACAGGGTACACCCATGAACGCTTTGTAAAGGTAGAAAGTTGGAGTTGGGTATAGAGGCTATTAGAGACGCATAGTACCCATTCGTACCTTTCCTACATCCGCAATAAATATTTCTCAAAGGTCTTGAGAGTCTTCTTGGTATTTGGATCAAGCATCCAGCATTTGTATCCATATAACAGAACTGAGAATATGTACCAACTTACAATCATCATTTTCAACCCTAAATTAAGTATAAAATGCATAAAAAGGTTTTTCATTTGAAAGAAAGTAGCTCTAATATTGATAATAAGTACTCAAATTCATCTTAATTTGCCTTCTTAAATATTGGCAATTTGAACAGATAGCTAGAACAGATCTTGTTGGTGCAGCTCTGAAAACGTTGATAGATGAGCATTCAAACCACCGCCTTAAGTCCTTCAGCCAAGAGTTCCACCTCCTTCCAATACTTTCCCAGTATTTTATCCTCTATTATCAACCTGAACAATTCATAGCGGGCTCCATGCATCACATGCCCGTATACCATATATTTATTTCTTTGATCATAAACAGAAGTTCCCTGGGTTTGCTCACTTCTTCATTTCTAACCGAAACCGAGCCAGCTTTTGCATATATATAACAGGCATGGGGATGAAAGATGCGGCCTACTGCACCCCAACCTGAATTGATCTATTGTGCTCCCCCTTTTTTTTATAACTCACTGGCCAGCTTCAGGTTGTTAATCAGTCTCCATAGCTTTGCCAGTGGCTCATTAGTGTAGGATCTTGCTTGCGGTTTTTCTTATCCTAGTTGCAAGAACCTGCATCTACATAGACCTACACAGAAACATAGAATGTGCAGTCTCCTCCTCTTCCTGGCAGTATCTGCACAGTGTTTCTTCTGTTTGTACTCCTATCCAGTGTATGTACTTTTTTAAGAGGCAGTGTCCTGTGAGGAGTCCAACCAGAATCCCGGTTTGATTGCGGTTGCCTTCCAGAAATTCTTTTGTAAGTTTTGCATTATTAACCTGAGCAATTCATAGAGGGCTACATGCATCACATGCCCATATCCTATAGAAGACTTCTTTAGGAGGCTTGCCTACTTAGCCTGCACCTTAGGTTCATTTGTACAGTAACATTGGTTTGCCAGTGTATGTCAAGTTTGGTGGCTATGTGCAACAGCCAGTGCCACTGGGTGGGTGGCTAAATAGCCTACACTCCAGGCATTGGACAGCAATGACCTCAAGGATGAAATTTATTAATTTGCATTATTTCTGTTGTTCCTTGCATATACCTTTATTGAGATATATGCAAAAGCAAACAGGGCAAGTGTTTGTAGTAAGTGACGAGTGATCAGGGGAGTATATTAAATGCATAAATAAGTGTTAGCACTGGCATTACCACAGTATATTGCTTAACCACGGCTATTAAAAACACCTTTTTCATTTTTTTGCTAATGTTTCGACGTTTATTTGTCTCAGCTTCAGGGCCATCATTCACCCAGGCCCTCAAGATGTCCCGAATAAAGTTCGAAATGTCAGCAAAACAATGAAAAGGCGTTTTCCTAAAATACTTCATTCTTGACTGCTCCTCACGACTTCAACAAATTTTCATAGGTAAATTTATGGGCTGAGAAAATGAAAAGTTCAGTATTGACGAAGTAGTTGTACATATATTCTTAAAATCAATCTTAAGCTGGGTCCTTTTTAAAAAGATAGTTCCTACTCACAGTAAGTTGTTTTGCAATGATCCAGATTTCGAGCCCTTAGCTCATCAGGTTGAAGGAGCTCAACAACCTGATGAGCTAAGGGCTCGAAATCTGGATCGTTGCAAAACAACTTACTGTGAGTAGGAACTATATTTTTAAAATGGATTGAACACTGCACTCACTTCATTTCTCTTAAGCTGGGTTTACATTGTTAAATGAGTTTTACTTTAGCATCCCACAAAAAATCGGTGGCTGTGATAAATTTGGATAAGTCGAATACAGTCCTCCTGGTTCATTCTTATACTGAAGACGTGTGTTTACACAGAGGGAATCAAACAATATGAAACAGTTTGTGGCACATTAAAAAACTGACAGCCGGATGCCTCACCCTGAAATATCCTTGCGCCAAAAGTTTTGCTAGGTATCCCCAACATGAAACAGTTGCACAAAAGATTTCCTCGCAGTGGAAATCCAGCTTTAGGGCTTTGATACAAATATTTTTTCATCAGTTCATTTGGTTTGTTGTATTAGAAGGAAACATTAAACTAATGATGTAACAATATCTTATTTAAGAAAGATATACTTTTTTATGCTTATACTTTAGCATGTTATAACTTGTTATAGCTACATACATTTCTGCATTTTTTAACATGTTCAGATCTTGGAGCTTTGTTGACACATTTTTAAAAATATTTTGTGAATTTCAAATGGAATATTAATAACCTGAGGAAACGAAAGTCCAGTATTGACAGTGTACTCGCACACACATGCTCAAAACCCATCTTATGGCTTTTGATAAAACATTAAACTAAGGCCTAATAGACATTTATTTGTAAAAAGTTTCAGCAGTTGCATGCTTAAAATCCACCCATCTTATGGCTTTGGTAGCTATTAATTTATTTCTTAATTTTACATTTAAAAAAAACTTGATTGATGGATTGAGGAAAGATAAAAGATTAAATTGCCCCATATAATTATTTTTCAAGAGCTAAGAAAATAACACGAGTAAAATAAATAACACTTTTTCAAAAAATTATTCACACTTTTTTCCATTTTCTTATTTAATTTTATTTTGTAATGAACCTTCCTTAAAATTTCTGCATTTATTATATTCTGATAGTTTAAAGCATTTCTGCGTTTTTAGTTCATTTTGGTTACAACTGTTCAAAGTAGACTGAAACATCAAAGAAAGACCAAAACGACTTTTTATATATTAAAATTATAGTACTTGTTTAGCTGAAAGTACAGTCTTACAGTTTCTGTTACAGTTAGAAACTTTATATTACCTGAGAGTGACCTCTTACAATACCTTTGTTTTGTACTGTTTTAATCCTTTTTTACCTGCGTTTTATGGCTAGTTCCTTTTTAGAACCCTCTCTACTCCACATTGCTCGTAGGATTTAAGGTCTCATTTTGCACCAGTTTGCCTTCAACTTCATTCCAAGCAACATGTTCAAGTATGTTGTCCTCTCATTATGTGACCAACTGTCATGCAAAGAATGTAAATGTTATTATTACTATTTTATTTATACTAGGCCATCTGTAATAAGGTAGGTAAATAGTCTTATTTCTTTGTTTTACTGTTTCAGCACCTTGTGACATAATCACTTTTATTTTTTAAATCTGTTATGTTTCGTGGTCTCATTGACCAAATTACTTCTTTCAATTAATTATTTTTATCTAAGGTCTTGGTTGAGATGAAAATTTATTTCTTAATTATTCAGAAATCGTGACATGCGGTCTGGTGTGATGTAGGTTAAAGAAAAACATTTTCTTTATCGTGCCAACGTTTCAATCTTTATTGAGATCATCTTCAGGGTCTGGGATTTATACAATGCAAAATATATTTTTTATATTCAATCAAAGTATATCTACTCACTCAAAAGTCTTTGTATTCTGTGTAATTGTGCCATTCTTGCGTGTCGTGTTGAGACATTTTTTCATTTTTCACGTAGTCTAATTTTCAGCAATTTAGCTTTCCTTTTTGTTTATCCCCTTCCATAAAATCCTGAAAGGATAATCTGGCCGAACCATTACCAACGGTTTTTCCCATCGTCGGCTCTTTTCATTTCAAAGAAGCCGACGCCTTATACAAAAATGTCTTTTCTATACCGACTTCCTCCCCCCCCCCCTTCAAAACCCAACGTATATAAACACAAAACAGCAATTTCTCACTGGCACTCTCAACACGACACTCAAGAATGGCACAGTTACACAGAAGACAAACACTGAGTGAGTAGAAATAGTTTGATTGAATATAATTGTTTTTTAAATTGTATAAATTCACTTTTTTCTACATCCTACGAGTATTTGTTAAAAAACAATGTAAATCCCAGGCCCAGAAGATGATCTCAATAAAGATCGAAACGTGTGGTGATTAGTAACCGTTAATCGATAATTATTGAGAAATCGTGAGATCCAGACCGTATATCACGATTTGTCAATAATTAAAGATCGAAACGTTGGCACGATAAAAAAAATGTTTTTCTAAAACCTACATCACACCAGACCGCATCTCACGATTTCTGAATAATTATCGATTAACGGTCACTAATCACCACACATTTATTTCTTAATTTTACAAAACATAAAATAGAATAAAAACTTTTGCTTGGTGCACCGAGGACAGATAAAAGATAAATAGCCCCATTTAATTATTTTTCAAGAGGAAAGGAAATCATGAATATTACTTTGCCAAAAAATTATTCATACTTTTTCCATTTTCTTATTTAATTTTATTTTGTAACGAACCATCCTTAGAATTTCTGCATTTATTATATTCTGATCTTTTATATTCTTTCGCAAGCATTTCTGCATTTTTAGTTCATTTGGGTTACTATGGTTGAAAGTAGACTGAAACATCAAAGAAAGACCAAAACTACTTTTTATATATTAAAATTATGGTATTTGTTCAGCTGAAAGTACAGTCTTATAGTTTCCGGTAGTTACAACCATTATATTACCTGGGAGTGGCCTCAATATTTTCTCTTGCCTTTGTTTTGTACTGTTTTAAATCTTTTTACCTGCGTATTATGGCACATTTTTAGAACCCTCTCTACCCCACATGGCACACAGGTAGTTTCATGTCCCAGTTTGCAACAGTTTGCCTTCAACTTCACTCAAAGCAACATGATTAAGTGTGCTGTTCTGTCATTGTGACCAAGAATATAAATGCTGTTATTATTTTTTATTATATTATTTATACTAGGCCATCTTTTATAAGGTAGGTAAATAGATAATGATATTACTTCTCTGTTTTACTTTGTATCACCTTGTATCATAAATCACTTTTGTTTCTTAATTTTATATTGAAAAAATAAAATAAAAACTTTTGCTTGATGCAGTTAAGAAAGATAAAAGATAAATTGCCCCATTCAATTATTTTTCAAGAAGAAAGGAAATCATGAGTATTACGCTTCGTCAGAAAATTAGTCATACTTTTTTCATTTTCTTATTTATTTAATTTAATTTTGTAATGAACCTTCCATAGATAGAATACTAGATTCATGTAATTATTATAGAAAACACCTCACCTGCCCAAGTAGAAAAACGTTCATTTTTTGCTAAAAAAGTTGTATTTAATTTAACAGTGCTTGAAATGAAGCTGAATTTTTAAAAATATTTGTTTAAACTTCTTTACTGGAAGTGTCATTGTGTTATCCTAACTTTTATATCTAATCTTATATATGGCCAATTTCACGAGACAAAGAGCTCAAGCAAATCATCCACTGCCCACTGAGGACTTGACTTGTACAAGGGTCATCCTTACCCGATTTGTTTCGACCACCAGCTAGTAGTCATTAAAAATAAACTAACCAATACACTTAGCTTTTTATTGGGGTATTTATGTAAGCATTGTTGTTTTCTTTATGTGTGCTAATGTCGAGAAGCTAGCAACTAAGGCACTAATAGTACCCTAAATATGGCCCTGCTAACTGGTTCCTGAGTATACTAATACTCGTAAATCACAATATTCTTTGGTTTACTTCTTGTTAGCCGCTAATAACCAAAGTGCTCACAAAAAAAATCAAAAGGAAAACAAGAAAAATTGAGAAAGGAAGGATCATTACGATAATCAAAAATGGGAATAAAGGACATGAACCGATTTCAATCAAAGAACTTTCAAACTAATAATTTATCAAACGTACATTTTTCCTTCGATTGATATTTAAAAAAATCAATCCATTGTTATTATTAATGAACAAAAACTAGCCAAATGAACTTGAAACCTTAGAATATACGTGAAAAACGTTAGCATACTTCTAAAGGTCAATCATGTTCCTATTTTTTCTAGCAGTTTTAGGAAATTTTTACTTCCGTTAAAACCCCTACCACAATAACAATTTCATACGATGCAACTGTTGCTTGAAGGACAATGAACCAAATGCATTTTCAACATTCATAAATAACATTAGCATTAAAAACATTAAACACTCTTAACCAACAAGAACCTGCTAACCTTATGTATAACATGAATGAACATGTTAGCACACTTGGTAGATGGACTACTCCACCACCCCAACTGAGTGAATGTTATATAAATAGGAAAGAATATATTTAAAAGGGAGTGGGTTTGGATTTAGGAACTGATCGCGTTGGGGACTGAAATGACCTAGCTGTTGATAGTTTGAAAACCCCTGGAGCCTAATCTCGGTGGTTGGATGGATCAGACCTGCTGGTAATTTATTGAAATTACAAAAGCTGGAATTGCTGACAGACTGCGAGAAGTGATTGGCTCAGCCCTGTACTGTACTAATATTTTCTATTTTTAAACCTAGTACCAAAAAAACTTTGAAATTGGTATTCACGTATAAAAAATATAATTAGGTAAAATGAAATGATAATTTTTTTTATTACTTGCCATCAACAGCCTAGGGACCACTCATTGATTAACAAAACAGTTCTTAGTCATGAAAAATTTGTTCACTTTTATGCTTAAAACCAGCATCTTATGGATTCTGATGTTTATAAAGATTATTGCATTTTTAAGCTCGTATTTAATTTAGATCTCATCCCCTTTCTAATTAAATATTTATGGTCTTCTTTTTTTTCTATTTTACATTATGTATAATGTGTAGAGATTAGTGACAGTTAATCGATAGTTATTCAGATATCGTGAGATGCGGTCGGGTGTATTATGTATAATTTTTATTTTTATTTGATAGGCTTATTTTTGAAGGTGCATTACTTTCAAAAATAAGCCTAACAAATGAGTATTGTATATGAAAGTGTAAAATGTGGTTTCTTATTAAGGTGTTTGCTAGGTCTATGAAGGGGACGGCCTACCTGCGAAGCTGTGCCAGAAATGCATTACATACTTGCTTAAATTCTGTTCATTCAAAGAAAAATGCCTAGCGAACGAAGGCAAGTTGAAGCAATTAGGGAACACTTCTGGAATATACCAGCCGACATTTCCTTCAAAGTATCTAAAAGATGCAGCCGAGCCAAGACGACCGAGCCATGTTGTCACACAGGTTTTTATTTTTTTAAATTTTACAACTTGTTACTTCTGAACAATAAACTCTTTTTACAAAAATTTTTCACTAACCATACAAATTGTTGATTTTTAATCTAGAGAAATTTCAGTGGAAATTTTACATAGTAAGTATTTAGAAAAAAGTTGTTCTGAGAGAAGAGTCAATTGTTAAAAGTAATAAGCAAAGCTGGATTGCAGTTCTTTGTATTATGGTAAATCAAATACAAACAAGACTTAAAAAAAAAAAAAAATAAATAAATAAATAAAATAACAAGTACATATTATTTTTCAAGGTAGATTACTACTGAAAAATGGCAAGAAGGAGGGAAAATTCAAAGGTGCGGTTGAGATGAGAAGTTAGTGTCCGAGTGGATCGAGGTCACAATAGCTCAAGTGGTAGAGCAGCGGCGTATCAAGCCGAAGATCGTGGGTTCGAATCCCGCTCGTGCCATTGACTTTTTTATCTCAACTAAAAACCTTAATTATAGTAGATTACTACTTTGTAAATACATTTTCTCCAGAGAAATTGGGAGGTTTTAGATCTTAGCATCATAAAATGGTGAGGGCTGTGTGTTAGGAGAAAATTCCTCTCCTATTTAAGCATCCCCCCCAAAAAAAGTAGTTTGTTAAAGTGGAGGGTGGATTTTTCTCCTGAGTATTATTGCTGAGTATTTAGAGCTCAGCAATGATGAGGGTTCTGCCAGGAGCCGACAGGGGTTCGCAACAACGCAGGTTATATCAACCTTCAGGGTGCCAGTGTTTTTGAAAATTTTTTGTAAGTGTGTCAGGTCCAAATGAAGAGCTGCTGGATTTGAATTTGGGACGTTTACCTTAGAATACCTAAACCGTTGCAGCCACATATTCCCCCCTATAGTTTATTCCAACTCGTTCTGTTATTTTGGTTTGATCACCTTCAAGTTCACAAATTAAACAAGTATTTTGGACGGTGATCACGTTCTTTATTTTCCACCCAATACGACTTTCCCGAATTTCTTCTGCCAGGTAAAAAGTCAAGCCCTAGACAGTGTTTGCTCCTTGAAATGAGGATTCTTTTAAGAATTTCATCTGGTTTTAAGCTTTTATGTGATAAGTTAAAATAATGACCTCAGGTTCTACTCAAATCTGATATCCAAATGGAATAAAAAAGTGGCTGCATGCTCACTTCAAAATTAAGCTCTCAAAAACACAAATTGTACATCGATTTTGGATAGCAATGATGTTCTTTATTTTCCACTTGTTCGTGTGTTTCCTTGAACCTCTGTCAGGCATACCTTTGACCCTAGAATTTTTGCTCCTTGAACAACTTTTGAGGAGTCAATGTATGAAAAATTTCAGCTGATTTTGTACAAAAGAAATTGAAATAATGCTTTCAGGTTTTTCCCAACTCTGATATCCAAATGTAAGGAAAATCGGCCACCTGCCCATTTCAAAATTCTCTCTCAGAAGCAAGTCTTGTTTTCTATTTAATATTCCCTCGAAAATACTTAAAAAAATATTTTTTTAATAAGATTTTTTTGTTCAAATGTTCATTTTGTTTTTGAGAATATTCTTTGTTTGCTGTACAATGTGTAGGTGATTTATTCAGTTGTGTTTTTCATATTCCAGCAGAGAGTTAAAAGCGAGGAGATACATTCTATTTCAATGAAAAACAATGAAAAAATCCTTCTTGAAGAAGATAACATTTCTCCTGATGCACCTGAAGAAGTTATATCGAAAGTTAAAAAATCACCACAAGATAACAACAACTATGTACTAATATCTATTAATGATGAGTTGTTTTTAGACTTTAGACAATAAAATCTTACCATCTTTCCAGACAATTCTTAACGGTGTGAAAGACATTCCTCTAATTTGCCAAGAGTGCAAAGCTCCGTTCTCGAGGCTCATCGATCTCATCAACCACCACACTAGAGATCACGGGTGGAACAGGTAGCAATTTTTATCTCAGTTTTGACATCTTAGCCAATTAAACATTAGTTTTTTTCGTAGACCGGTTCAGAAAAGTCAAAGTTCCCAGGTGCTTAATGAAAAGAAAAGACGAAGTCATGTCAGTGATTTGAATTATCATTTGTGAAAAACAATTAACAGATTAATTATTTGCAGGCTGTGGCAAGTTAAACTCAGAATTAAATTCGTCTTCCTGGAATTTGTTTTCTGTAAATACACATTGTTATATCGTCAATAATAAAATACTATTTCAGAGTTCTGTTGTTATTATTGCAACTTTTGCATAATATTAAGAATAAGTTACCAGAAAGTTTATGATTACACCCTAAATAACAGAAAGGGCAAAAATATCTATTTAAGAAAAAAAATGTGATAGTAATATGCCCACTTAAACTTAAAGAAATAAAAACAATGTTAGTGCAAATAAGCTAATAATAGAAATTTCATCTTGAAATAGAACTCCCAATGATAGTTATCTGGTTTCAGCCTATGGTGATTTTCAAGGTTTCTTTACTTGGCATTACCATATCAACAATCTGTTGTTCTTGTTAAGAAAAAGTAGTTAGATGGAGCCTAACTTGACATTTAGGTTGCCTCATGTGAAAAGGACCCATTTGAATCCTGCTTTTCTTTTTGATGTCATTTATCAAATATGTACTAGCATATAAGTTGAAGTATTTAATATTCTTGGCCAAGGATTAGAAGTTATTAATGGATTATTTCATTAATTTGAAGAAGTAGTCTTTTCAGAGGATCTTCGGAACCGAAGATCCTCTGAAAAGACTTATTATATCCAGCAGGTCGATAATCTAGTTCATCGTTAATTTGAAGTGTTTACAAGCTTAAAACATTGCTTGACTCTGATTTAACAATTATACTCATGTTTGGTTGTTTTCTATTATTCTGTCTACATGTTTCATTTATAAGAAAACTGTGATAAGAAAATAACAATTATTTTCATGCGAGTGTGTTTGAGATTTTCTGCATATAAAATGAAAAGTCATTCATTGGTACCTTGGGAGTACTGCAGTGTACACCAGTACACTTTTTTTTTTTTTTAAGGATTCAATATATCAGTTCTTAGTTTCTTTGTGGTTTCATTATCCCCTTACAAGCGGTGATTGATAAGTATAAGGTGTCAAGCTATTTTGGATTTATGGTTCTTTTTGTGCTATCAGATAACAGCTGATAAACAACACCAATTTTGGTCCGTAGACACATTTAATTTTGTTGAATTGATAAGATGGGGGGGGGGTTGTGGTAGCTGAGTGGTTATGTGAAAGACACCTCATAGACCCTGCGGTCATGGGTTCGCCCCTGGTCTTTTTTCATACTTCCCTTCACTCTCAAAAAGTATAACTTGGATCAAATTGTTGTTATGTTTGTCACTATTTAAAATTGCAAGTATTTTTTTTTTTCAATTTCAGATTTTATTGTGCTCATTGTTATAAATCGTTTGTAACTAAAAGCATGCTGGAAAGGCACATACGGATCCATACAGGTTACAAGCCGTTCAAATGTCTCAAGTGCCATAAAAGATTCTCGCAGAAGATCTCTGCCAAAAGGCATTTCAAGACGCATCTCAATCTTTCGTACCCGTGTGAGCACTGCCCCAGGATCTTACTGAGTGCCGAGGGACTCAAATGCCACGTGAAAACCCATCATACATACAGGACTGAGCAGGAGATGAAAAAGTGCGTATTGGAGTATTTTCAACCTAGTCGAAGAACAACCGCTGAATTTTGTTTTTCAGGCACAAGTGCAAATTGTGCGAAAAAACATTCTGCCATTCATCTGGACTGTCCCGCCATCTCCAGCGGCATATGGGCAAGTTCTTTACATGCCGGGTATGCTTGAAGCATTTCCAGGATGCCTCAGGTCTTAGGAGGCACTTTAAGGAAAAACATACCAAGCATATGGATTCCACGGTAGAAGAAGAAAAAGGTGAATTATTAACTAAGCAAACAATTATAACTTATATTTCGATTTTTTATTGTAAGGCTGAAATAATGGGATCTTTAGGAGGGAAACTAATTTTGACATTAAAAAATAATTCAATTTTTTTATTAAACTAAAAAAATTCGTTTGGTATAAAGTTTTGCAGTTTTGAATACCGGAAGTGTTAAAAATAAATTTTTTGAACATTTTGACCAAAAGTTTTAATTTTTTTGAAATTCTACTACATTTAATAGTTTAGGAGTTGACATGGCGCTAATCAGTGTAAGGTAAAAGGATGTAGGTCATGTAAATAAATAAAAATAAAAGAAATTTTTTTGTGTGTGTCGTTTGGTGTATAAGATCTCCAATTTTGAGCACAGAAATTGTCGATTTAAACTTTAGAAGGTGTACACAGATCAGAATGACATGAATAGATAAATCTCAATATAACGGGAACCCTACTATCCATCAGAAAGGTCACAATGTCGTCAGGATGGTGCGGCACAAATGAAAGGATACATCACAAAAAGAGCGTTCAAAAAGTTGAAATTCAAACGTAAACTTAAAAAAAACCTCTGTGAAAAGTCTGGTTTTTTAACTTTCATTCTTGGCTTCTGTTCAATATTTTGAATTGCTTATTTTTTAAAATAATTTTTATAAAATTTTTGTTTTTAAAAATTAATTTTTTTAATTTTGTAAATCACTGAATAATTTCTCTGGTTCAGCAATAGGACCAATTAAAGCATAATGTATTTTTTTAATTTAACAAGGACAAAAACTAAAGATTTTTTTCTGCGATAATAAATAAAATTTAGGCAAAAATTTGTGAATGATAATTTATTAGGTTATGAAATGTTCAATGTCATGTAAAAATACTGTTGAATTATAATCCAACAAGTATTGGAGTACTGTTTTAAAAAAAAAGTGATGAGTGATGCCATTCTTAAGAAAAAAAAAAATGTGACGATCCTGTTAATTTGGTTATTTTAGACCATTGATCCTCACTGGCTTGGCCAGTTAGACATGTTTCGACATTTTGCCATCTTCAATTGTCGCTATCTCAGATGCTGAAAATGAATCTTTTAAGGAATATACTTCACTGTAGCTACAAAGTAATTATTCCATCTTCACAAGATAACAACTATATGGTTTCAGGTGTAATGAAACTATAAATTGAATTTACAGAGAATAAGATCAACATGGCATGTCCATTATCATACAAAAATAAAAGGCTAATACAAAGTTTGTGAGTAACGTTTTTTTTTCTTTTTTCAGTTTATATGATCGATCCATTTGCTTTCAAATATTTGAATAGACCATTGGAAAAGGAACAACAGCTAGAAAACACCTTATTGACTTGTAATTCAGATCCTGAACCACTTCAGTCTTCGTAATGCAGCACTGGACCATTGCAGTCTTCATAATGCTGAGAAGTCAAGTGACTGTGACCAGGTACAGAAACAATTTATACTTTCTTATCTTTTCAATTCAATGTGAAAAAAGTTACAGTCAAAGTTACAATAGGAAAATGCTATTGTAACAGTTCAGTTTTGGTTTTGTGGTCTGTATAAGATGTACAAATACGCATTTTTTTCTAATTACTATTATTAGACTAATAATTAAAAAGTAACGAATCTGTGATAGCCAGGACTTTATGTAGTTATATCATATGCACTGACATGTAATAACAGAAAATTTATATTAAGAAACTTTATAATTAGATAACATTGTAATATGTTAGCAATCTTCAATTTATTAATAATCGCAGATTTAAAATTTTAATGATAAAACATAAATCCGTTATGGCTGGATGACCTCGTTTTTACCATGTATGATTAAAATGTGTGGTAAATATATATTACATTTTAAATCGTCACCATTACTAAAAGAATTTGTGGAAATTTTTGTGGATATTATTTATTTTTTGAATCTTGCTATTTTAAATGACATCCCCTTTCGTAAAAATGGAATCAGTTCTGAGATGTCTTTATCCCTTTTTTATTAATATATTTCAGACCTATTTTGCAGGACACAATTTTCATAAAATTCATTTTAACATATTTAATAAGAAGTTAACAATTTTGAGTAACAAAGGATATATTAACACGTTCAGCACAGAGTCAACCTGGACGTTTATGACCTTTGCTGGACCCTTCTTATTCCCTCTTTTGATTCTTTCGCCAATTGGCGCAATGCTGTCAGGCTGTCTCTACCTACTTTTATTTGACATAGATATTTGCAGTTTTTATAGCTTTTCTCAAAAAATTAATCCTTTTTAATGGGACTTTTCTTTGTTGGTATTACTTATTGTAAGGGACAGTTAGATGTTACTGAAGTGAAAGGACATATAAGTATTTTACAAAAATATTTATTAGGTACTGTACAAATTTTTATATTTACACAAACAATAAAATTGACAATTATTTTGAAGTTTGGTATAAACTGTATATATTAATACAGTAGAATCCCGGTATATCGTATCTCCAAGGGGACGGAAAAAAATACGATATATCGGGATGTTCGCTATAACGGGATTTTGTTAAATCGGGGGTATAAATGAAACAAAATACGGAATATCGAAGTTATATATATGTAATTACATATGTACACGTTTTATTACATAAAAATACATACATGTATGAAAATAAGTTTATTTTTTTTTTAAATACTTTTCCATTGTTGTTTGGACAACGCAATTATTAATTCGAGTGTTATCGATAGCTATATCGATGGTGTGAATAGCATTGAAAACATTATCGTCGACGTTCGATCTTGACAAATAATGACGAATCCGATTTATCATTTTTTTAGCCTCTTTATGACTGATATTCGGAACTTCATCTTCTTCAGGTTCTTCCTCTTCTTCTACATCCACATCGTCTGCTAATTGGTTAAGAATTTCGTCCTCACTAAGCATTTCTGCTACTGCTACGTCATCGTCGAATGAAACAAATTCTTGAAAAGTGATAGGATTGTCATCGTGGGTCAAGCGGTTCCATTCGTTGGGAGTCGCAATTTCGTTGTCGGGTTCAGAGGGTGCTATGACACTGTCGTCTTTTATAAATCCGCTCGTCCTGAAGCAATTTCTGATGGTTTTTTCACTCACTTTTTTCCAAGATTTATCAGCTATGTACATGGCTGATAATAACGAGATTTTGTGATCGACATTTTCTTCCAAGCTATCTAGGAGTTGTTGGACGATTTCCGTTCGATAAAATGATTTGAACACCTTTATGACCCCTTGATCCAATGGCTGTAATATCGATGTAGTGTTGGGAGGTAAAAATTCGACTGCAACATGACTTAAATGCGGAGGGTTGTTATGTGCCGTACAATTGTCGATGAAAAGAAGGATTCGACGATTCTTTTTTTCCATTTCCGCATTAATAGACGTCACCCACTCATTAAACAAATCGCTCGTCATCCACGCTTTTTTGTTAGCTCGATATGCCATAGGAAATGAGTTAATGTTTTTAAAACACCTCGGTTTTGCCGACTTGCCGATCATTAGAGGTTTTAACTTCTCGGAGCCATCCATATTTGCTGCTAACAAAAGTGTAATTCGCTCTTTGCTACTTTTCCCGCCATGACACTTTTCTCCCTTGAAGCACATGGATCGATCTGGTAGGCATTTGAAGAACAATCCCGTTTTGTCGGCGTTGAAAATGTTTTTAGCTTCGTATTCCTGGATTATTGTTTTCAATTTTGCCTTCCATTCAGAACAAAGCTCGGTAGACACGCTGGCGCTCTCGCCACACACCTTAAATTTTATGTTGTTTCGCTTTTTAAATCGATCAAACCAACCGTCACTGCACCGAAAATCTTCGTTTGAGATTCCCAATCTCGTTGCAAAAAACTTAGCTTTTTCCCTCAGAATCTGCCCTCCGACTGGCACATTTGAATTTCTGGCCTGGTTCATCCATTTAACGAGAGCGTTCTCTAAATCAGGAAACTCACCTTTTGCGAATCGCTTCTTTTTCGAGTTTTCATCCGCTGCTCTTATGGCGTCTTCTTTTTTTAAAATCGATGTTATCGTCGACGGTGCCACTTTATAATGCAAACTGACTCATCAAATTCTTGCCAAATTTTGGATGTACTTGGCTGATTAAATGAAATTTCAACTAGTGACTATGGCTCAGCTCGGACAACAGCTTGTATTTTTTGAATTATCAGCTTCTTTGTGTTCACAAACTGGATTCTTCCCCAAATCCTTGTTTTTTGAACCGGGGGTCAAGAAAGATTGATTGACTTACTACATCATTCTTTTCCCGGTTCCCAAATCAATGACTTAAGGATTCGAGAAATTTGTCCGCTAACAGTTTAACTGATTCACTTAAGCCTTGAATGCTCAGGTACCAGGCCCTGAGCTAAAACAGATTTTAGACAATGATATATTTTTTTCAGAAAAAAACTTCCTCTGTAACTTACGAGAAGATTTGCAGAAGCTGTATACCTTCTTTGATAACTTTCCAGTCTTCATTCTCTAATAATAATTTGGTGTTGCAAATTGCTAAAGCCGAGATTACCGCTTCCTTACTTTTGTAAATGCGGTCCAACATCTACTTCATTTTAGCGCTCAACGCAGGCAATTCCTAGATGATTAATAAAAGAGAATGTTTTTTATCTTATTATTCATTACATTTCATAAACGGAGAAAAATTAATATTTTGAGGAAACTGACTTTTTTGGTTGTCGCCGCGTATGGAATGTGATAAATAATAGCAAATAACAAGAAATACAACAACAAACAAATAAACGTAATACAACAACCTATTGAAGGAAAATAATACTAAATAACTACTAATAAATTAATCAATTTAAAATATTACAAAATATTCACAGAAAAAATGTACATGATATACAGATAAAAAACCACGGTGCATGTTGTAATCTGCAAAAAGACATCTGATTAATACTAAACCTTTTATTTTTTTTTTTTAATTGTTGAATAATATTATTGATTGCCCCCCTGACCAATTTTGGGCTCATAGTAAGGAGGGATTTATGCTTATTCGATAACTTTCTACACCCCTGCCTTATCCTATCAAATCCAAATTTACAGCTGTTGTTAATCTCCTCTTCAAATTCGACCCTCAAATCATCTCTGGACCAACGAAAACGTTTGCCTTGCTTTAATCTGGGGGCATGTCTTCTCTTTCTCCCAGGGTTTTCACCGCGGGGTATCAGAATTTCTTCTTCACTGAATGTATCTGTTTCCCCCCGTTCATAATCAGGGCTATGTTGTACTGTGTATGAGCAACCAGGTTGTGGAGAAGTATTTAAATTTTGCTGATTTATTATAAAGCCTTCCTGAAAGCTTTGTGGTGGGGTTTGGGGAAGAACCGTGGAGGGTTGAGTTTCTAAATCCTCCAAATTTTCTACTACAATACTGTCAAGAGGCTGTCCCTTGAATGTTTGAATTCTACCCTTATCTAACGCTGTAAATAGCTTGCTAATCCAGCCGAGATGTAACGCAGAAACAGGATGCCTATAAAATTTTAAATGGGTTTCTTCCCGATGGCCTAACGTTTCTGCCACTTGCCTTAAGTCTTCAGTTGTTAAGCTGACATACTGAAGGCTTACAGCCAAGTGTTTCCTTAGCTTGGTCCCTCTTAAGAGTGTAGGATTTTCAGCCCCACATTCATTTGCGAATTCTCGCATCACCGCGGTTCCTTCTATGAATGATACCCCCCTTGCAAACAAGAACTTGTTATTTGGACCAACGTCGGCCATCGATCTTAACTCCTCTAACATTCTATTAAAAAACTTAAGGCCCTCTTTTAAAACTAACAAAGCTACCATTCTACCTTATTTTCCCTTTACGCATAATCGTTTAAAAGAAGTTGCAAATAATTTTTCTGATTTATTAAGAGAGAGGTATTCATCGCTTCTCTCATTTACCTCTTGGGCGTTTTGCCAATCCTCAAGAGTGATTTGATCTATTTCTTTAACCCTCTTTCTATTAAATATCCACAATTTAAGGAGCAGGACTTTCACAAACATTCTATACGCTTTTTCATTAAAACCTCCCTCTAACGCGGTGAAGGATTCTTCTAATTTAATTTTAACAAAATTAATTAATTTTTGGACGTCTTCCATGATTGGAATGGTCTGACGTATAAGTGTCTTTCTATCTGCCTGCTTCCGAGCTACACTTGAAACTCGGTCGGAAAATGAATCATCAAAAATGTCTTGCCATTCCTTAACTTGTTTAACGTTACTTGCATCTTCTTCTAATCGAAGTTTGTACGCCACCGTTACAGAAAAATTCCGAAATGTTCTCCCATACTGGTCCACAACGGATGGTTTCGCGTAACCTCCCCCTGGGTCTTGACCGGCACCTCCCTAATAGCTTCTACAAAATAACCATATGTTCTGGGCGTCAAACAATCCCTGGAGGAATCAAGCACTACATTTTCTTTGATGGCAACTTTTTCCTTAATTTTGAAAATAATTTTTGAAATTGTCCTTATATGTGTTAAAATCATATATATATATATTCAAGTTCAATTCAGCGCCCAGCGCAGGCAATTCCTAGATGATTAATAAAAGATTATCTTATTATTTGAAGAGTACAGGGGAAAAACCGGCTAACTTTATCATTTTGTGAAAAACGCATTTTTGTGCAAAAAACGCTACGACCGCTATACAGAACGGTAAAAAAATCCAGGAAAAAGGTATTTCTATCTTGAGATATACCTTGAGAAGGAACACCAAAGAAATTTGAAAAAAAAAATTCGTTTTTAATCAATATGACAACAATAACTTTGTGAACTCACATAATTCAGGGGAAAAACCAGCTCTTGAGTTAAAATACATCATTTTTTTGGCAGCTTCTCGTAGAAATGTTGCGCCCGGATCCCACAAAATTGTTTCAAGTGGTTCAAATCGTTATATTTCTCTCTTGAAATCGGAAGTTTAGAGGTATAAGCGCGTGGTGCAAATTGAAATTCTCCCGGTCGAAGCATTCCGGCTTTGGATGATTGAGCTGTGACTCCTCCTGTTTCACGACCTGGTCTTCTTGAAGTCTTTAATCTCTTCGCTGGTCGAGGATTTGGGATCATCAGTGAGTTGACCATCGTTCCATTGTACGTATCCCGATGAAAAACGAGTCTGGGATGTCCAGCTTCGATTTTCAGCTCCCTGAGAGGCCTTGTTTTCATCGGTGCTTTCGGAAGGTACAAAGGTTCAAGGAATTTCGTCCAGTCTCTTACGTGGGATCTATCAACCCGCACAACGTTGAAGGGTCGTGGTTTATTCCGTGCTGATTCCAGAACGTCAAACCAGTCTTGAGGCACTTCAGTCCTGGATTTCTGGTTTACCAAACCCATGTCCTTGTCACATTCGAGGTAAGAGTGACCTCGGATGGGGAACGTTATGGCCACAGAGTCTAGTCGTTTTTTTGTATGAACAAGGTAATGCAAAAATCGGAACACAGTCCAATTTTTGTTTTGGCCACCACAAGAGTCGCTGAAAATTGCGAGATGGCGTACGGTCTGGGGCAAATGATGTTCCACGTTGTAGTATAAAAAAGAACACACCTCGTTCGATCCTTTCTTGGCAATAATTTCAGAGTACGCAAACATTACCACGTCATTATCACTTAATCGGTGAATGTTGAATGAGAATAAAGACAGCTGGCGCCGGTAATATACGTCATTTGTGGCTATGTTCGGGCATGGCAAATTCTTATTGAAGTCCATGACGATCGCTTCACAATCGACTTTTTTTCTGCAACTTTGCTTCTCATTTTTCTTTCTGTCATAGAAAGTCTGTGCCTTACACAGGTGAAGTTTTTTCATCGTCTGCAAATTCTTCATTTCTTTAGGGGAGGTGCATTCTTTTAGCTTGACTGCAAAATTATCGCAAGTGCTGCACGTGTCGGTGCGGGGGTAACCGAAACTGATGTTGAAACGAGAGTTGAAAATGCTACGATACGTCTCGTAGCTTGCCTTATAGCCTGGAAATAGTTCGCAGTACATGTCATACATTTTTTTAACGTTCAACTCCTCCGGTAGGTAACGTTTTTTGCTCTTCATGAGTGAGTAGTGGCTGAGTCTGGTGCGAAAAGACCTTATATGACTCATGATGCACGACATAGTTGCGTCAGGTAGTTTCCGTGGACGGTTCTTGTGTGAACCTCTTCTATCTTTTGGGCTTGTACCAGTGTCTTTCAAACTGTTCTGAATTGTCACAACTCTAGCTTTTGTAATACCATGCATGGACAAAAAAGCTTTTCGACAGACTGGGACTTCCGTCACACCATCATCCCGAAGCATCCTTACTTTGTAGTGGAAACTGGCGGTTCTTAGTGTGGCATTCATTTCAACATCAGGTTTTCTTACAGGTCGATTTGTTACGGGTGTGACGCTCATGAGTCCAGTCAAATGAGAACTTTGTTCGTTCCAGTCATTGAGAAGATTAAAATGTTTAATGATTTTTTTCCTGTCTTCCTCGCCCACAACTTCGAAGCACTTGTACTTCTTGCAATGACAGGGAGGGCCTAATTCATGCCCCTGAGTTCTGAGCTTTTTATTCACGTCTTTGAGTCTACCTGTTACCTTCCTTTTCTTTGATGAAGCTGGTAGGTGTTCATCTTCTTCGTCTGAGAAGCCATGGACGTTCATACTAGCCACAGTCAATCAGGAACAACCAAAAACAAGAAAAAACGACACTAAACGGCACTGAGGAATATAGAAAACTGATCCAACTAACAAACACTCAATATTTTGAAAGGAAAAAAACAGGAAACAATTCGAGGAAAACGTAAGGGAGTGGGGAGGGAAGAAGCGAGTGCCAAACGTTAGCCGGTTTTTCCCCTGTGGCGCTCAGGTTAGCTGGTTCTTCCCCTGTGCGGCGTTTACTCACTCGCTTTTTTGAGACATTTGGGCAGGTTTTTCCCCAGTTCTGACAGTCGCATCGGATCCGGCACCTCGAAATACATAAGGAGCAACTGTCAACTCATTTTCGACCAAAATTCGAGTTAGCTGGTTTTTCCCCTGTACTCTTCATTTATTATATTTCTTAAACGGAGAGAAATTAATATTTTGAAGAAAGTTATTCAGA